CAATATGAAATCGTGTGACAATAATGTTTATAATACCATCTCTATCTATAAAGATTATACATAATTAAATCACAAATTAATAATTTCATAAATTTACTGAATTTGTATCAATGTCTAAAAATCATATAATTATGTATATAACAACTGTTAACAAATGTTAATATTTGAAAAGTTTCTTTGATTTTATATTTCAAGATATTACAGATAACTTCTAAAATAAATAAATGTTTTAAATTTCAAAACTTTTAGTATAACTTCAAATTCAATTCAAAAACACTTTGTACGCCACAAAATCTGTATAATAAAATACACCGTAAAAGATTTAAAAAATTTCTTGAAAGAATAATCATGTATAATTTAACAATTACTGCTCTAGAAAAAGATTTAAAATATCATGAATTAGCAGCCATAAAGTGTTATAAACAATAGCTGTAGCTAAAAAAAAAAAAAAAAAAAAATACTAGGATGATATGTTTTTAAAACATAAAATTTGTAGTCTTTAAAAATTTCATTAATAAAAAAAAAAAAAAAAAGAGTTACAGTAATTCTGCACTTCATGAGAATATATCAAATTATTCCTGCAAGGAAGAATATGTATTATGATTAAGTGAAAGTCTCTCAATAACATCGCACAATGTGTCATATATAGCTATTATAGAAATCAAGTCTACAAAAAGTACTTACACGGCCTTTATTTTCGCAGTTGTTGTAATACAGATGCAATCCCAAATACAGAAAAGTTTTTGAATAAAGCAAATATTCATATTTTGACATTTTTAAATTTAAAAAAATAGTTTTGTAAAAATTATGAATTTTAACTTTTTATACGTTTCCTGGTATACAAAATTCATTATACAAAATAAATACAAAAAGTGTCATTCCCATAAGACAAATATTGACTGAGATATTCAATTTTAAAGTTTGAGATCATATTAAGGGGCCATACACAAATTGAATAGTAAAATGTTTGCATCTGTATGCAACTAAAAATAAAATACCAATACAGAAAAATATTTAAATGTTAAAAGATTAAGTGAAGCACACTCTGCAAATCATGGCTAAGCAGAATGTCATGAAAAATATTTATCAATATATATATTTATATACAGTATATATATATATATATACAGTGAAATATGTTCATATATGAAATATATACAGTGAAATATGTTTAACACGGAAACGCTTAAGACGAAATATCGTTTAACATGAAATAATACAATAATTCTGACAAACTACTATGTATTTTCATGCATTTTGTTTCTCTTAACATGAAACAAAAATCATTTAACACGAAAGGATATCCCTTTTGGAAATGAACAAAATACGGCCTCACAGGCGAAATTTAAGTGGGATGTGAAATGAAGGAGAAGATGGTTTCACGTTTCATAGAAAGGAGGCTAACTTGGCTTTGAAATACCCTCAGAATAACCTGTGACACGAGCCAGTTTTGTTTATCTAAGCTACTTTCACCTTTCTACAAACTGACCTCTCGTCAATTGGCTTTGGAATTTGGTGATGAGTACATCACAGTGTGAGTTTGGTTCATATGTTGCATTCTGCATGGAATTCAGTGACTCCAAAGATGAATGGAAATTGTTTCCATCATGCACGATTATCAAAAGTATCAGATTCTTTGGTGCCATAAGAAATGTAGGAAGAGGATATTGAAATTGAGCCAAAACTTAATGTTTTCGGCATTACTGGACTATCCTACTGTAGTATCGGAAGAATTTGTTGCAGTAGTTAACGATAATGTGTTTACAACCCTAATTATGGTAGACAAAAACATCATTTGGAGTTTGTTCAAAGCTAAAAAAATATCATTAGTGGAGATTCCGAAGACGGAAATGAAATGAATAATGCAGCTCATGTTCCCATGTCATCCGAAACGAGGAACATCTTAAAAAGTATGCGCAGTTATTTAGACGCATGTTCCAATGGTGAAATGAATAACAAAGTGGACAACATTGAACAATTTGTTAACAATCTGATGCTAAAAAAAACAATGCAAAGAAAAATATCAGATTATTTTCCAAAAACTCAATAAATGTTTTGTTTTTCAAAAAACTTGAAAATTTTGTATTAAATTTCATCAAGTTCTTGTGGATGTTTTTATTTCATTGATTTTTATTAAATACATGTGTATATACATTTCTATGTAAATAAAATGTACTCTAATAAACTTAATTTTGTTGAATATATGTTGTTTTTTCCAAATATCCTTTAACATGAAATTCTTTTAACACGAAAAAATATTCCAGTTCCCTCAGTTTCGTGTTAAACGATTTTCACTGTATGACACTCAAAACTTAGAGAAATCATATTCTGCAAAACACTGACAGGTACAGTATGTAGCCAACTCATAAATATTTGATAAATTAAAAATGAAAAATATTTCTAGTTTAATGAACTTTTTAGTATGATTATTAGATTATGATTCTATAATATAATATCTTAAGAATGTTAATAACATATTTCTAGCATTCAGAAATTTAAAAATTACACATGTGAGAATGCTTTCAGAATACATTTAAAACAAAATTTTAAATTAAAAGAACGTTACTCACTAGTAAATCACAAAAGAATATTTTCAAATGGCAAATCATTCTAATTTAATTATTAATCAATCCCTCAAGGCAATCAAAAATGGCGTTGGAAGTTCTCAAACTTTGAAACTGAATATAACAATTGCTAATTTTTGCTATACAAGTTTCAAACTTTTGTGTTTATGTTTTTTAATGAATATACAACTTTCCTAAATGTAACTATAAAGATTAGAGGATCGTATATAAAATTAGATTTTAAATATTTACAATTTTTTAAAATTTATTAAAAAATGTCAAAACATAAATATTTACCTCATATAAAACATTTTTGTAACTGGAAGTAACTATGAGCAATGTTTTCTAAAAATAATGACCATATAAGGACTTTTGTGGACATGGTGTATAAATGAAATTACAATAGACACAAATAACAAAACATTTAAAATAAATGACTGTTGTTATATTTACAATATCACATATAAAATGACTTGAGGGTATTTTATTTTAATATGATTTTTGTAAATATTACTAAAACATTATGAAAATATGTTACTATACAATAATCAGATCATATGATTTATTTATCATATTTTTATATCATCATATCATTTAATGAAAAACTAAATAAATACAAGTTGAAATCATAAACACAGTAGTATATGCAAGGCATTAAAAATTATTATAGAGTTTGTAACACAAGCATAGTACGTTTTTATATTCTAACAGAACTTAACAATATTCTCACTTCCGTTAACCTGAAATTGAAAATGTGATGGTATTTATTTTTTTAATAGAACAGAGCCCTGCATAATATGTAGATGTTGTGTGCACTGTTCTTAACAGCTGATGTTTAGAAATATTCTCATTGGTTGGCCAAGAAGGAGCCTGTATTTCACTCAAATGGATTAGATGAAATCCAAAAATACAATAACTTATCCATTTAAAATTACATAATAATAGCAAACTTATAAGCCTATGGTTTCAACTCTTCCCCCCCCCAGTCCTCTTTCTCAAGCTGTGCCAGAATGCCTTCTTCTAAGATTTCTTGATTCAAGTGCAGCATTTCATATAATATGTAATACTGAAAGCATTTTATTTTAATATAAAGGTATATATAATCTATTTTATTTCAAGAATGTATATTATTACTTATATTTTTATTAATATAATATTAATATTCAAAAAGCATAAATAAAATGTTTCTGTTGATTTTATTGCACTTACATGAGACATATTTAACTTTTTTCTTGTTCTTTTGTGTCATTTGATTTCAGACCATGCCATAGTCAATCTCTGCCACAAGCCTTTTGTCATCATAGTTTGAGCTATCAGATCAAACAAATGCCTTCTAAAATCACAAAATTCTCCTGGTTGAGAACTCTTGATATAAGCACCCTTATGAATATGTTTACCTGAGAGTCATTTGAGATAAAATTTCATTTCGATAGCCATATGTTTATAAGTGATACACATACTAACTTATGCTAACAGGTAAGCAAGTTTTCCTTTTTTTGCCTCAATAATATATGCTACACACATATTTCCTTCAAACTGCTCATAACATAAAAGTTACTGAAAAACCTTGGAATTCTTTTTTGAGCATCCAATTTCATTAAAAAAATTCATAGCATCAATTTGGTGCCGCCTGGATGCTGCACCTAGGGGGCACAGATGTCCCCCCTTGCCCCGCCCTAGCTCCACCACTGTGGAACACTAAATACTAATAAAAAAAATCTAAAAATGTTTTGCATATACTGGGTTTCTTTAACCAATGCAAAAGCAAAATGTCTCCACTTCATTACAAATATTATTAGGCTACAATTTAGTTTATAGAATTTCATGAAACCTTTACAGATAACAGGGGCGTAGCTAGAGGGGGGCAAGGGGGGCATCTGTCCTCGGGCACAGAATCCAAGGGGCGCCAAACTGATGTTACAACATTTTAGAATTAAATGTTTTCCATCCTTGGCAAGCAGTAGGGGGCACGAAATCTTCAGTTGTCCCTGGGCGCTGAAAACCCTAGCTACGACTCTGACAGATAAAATTTCAGTTCTAACTATTAAATCATTATCAAACAAATATGTTTGTATATTTAATTACTAGTCCACATTCTGTACACATCAGCAGAAAATTTACAGAAAAGTTCCATACATTTTTAAAAATGTGATACAGATTTCCTTTTGTGAAACACCAAGACTATCCCACTGAAGTTGAATTTTCCCTCTTTTCAAGTAAAAACTGGCATCCTTATATTTATTATATTCTACTTCGCCTCAAAGTTCAAGGTTCAAGAGTTAAAGTATATAAAATATAAATATTTTTAAATATATATGTTTTCCTCTTTATTGCACAAAAATTAATTATACAATATTATATACACATTAATCAGACAGTATTTTGCTTCCTACTTACTGCATTAAGTATGTAAAAAATGTAATAATGAGACTTTAAAGCTGTATATTTTTGTTTAATTTAATATCACTTCTACAGTTTCCAAACATGCTTGAAGACTTAATTGCACTTTAAAAACTATTCTGCTATGCTGATACATCTAACATTCTTCAATGAAGGAAAATAAATTATGAAATAGATCTTTGAGGCAACATTGTTCGCAGGTGTATAGCATCATATATTGGTAGTCCAGTATAAAAAGAAAGCCCAGTTAAATTCTCAACATCAATAACACGAGCAACATTCTTTTCGATCACCCTTGTTGCAGGCTGAAAGGAATACAAGAAATATGTGTATTAAATATTCATAATGCTCTTGTTAAATATAATAAAATAAAAATGTGAAATATAATTTCATAAAAATTAAACAAAACTGCAAATATAATTTTAATATTTGCTATTTTTGAATATATATACAAGAAAAATAAATAAAAATGTATTTAAAATTTTTTAAAATTTATTTAAATTTAAAAATTTTAACATTAATGATTTATTTTGTGTAACTGCAGCAACAATAAAATTCAGATATTATTCCAATAATAAAAAAAATTTAATTATATCATAAAAGGAAACAAACATGAAAAGAAATAAAATAAAAAATAAAAATACATTCTTGTTCACCTGTTTAATTTTCCATTTAATAAATTTTTTATTGCTAACTTTGGCATCATTGAAAACATTTTTAACATTATTATTATAATTTAGGTTAAAATAACACACTGAATAACGATTATTGGAGAAGTTTACAAGAATCAGCATACTGTTTGTAAATTTTGCAGGACTAATTTTGATGGTTTAAACACCTAACCATCTTCTTCAGCATTTGCACTTAGGCAGCTGAAGAGCTGGTTCCATATTTAAATCATCGAAATTAGTCTTGCAAAATTTACAAGCATTGCGCTGATTCTTATTGGTTAACTTCTTCAATAATTATTGTTACAATTTGAAACAATAATTTACTCTTTAACTTGATGTTGTATATTTTTAATTTTTATTTCATTTTATGGCTTTTTCAAATTTGGAAGCATTAAAAATACCAATTTATTATTGTATGTATGTATATAAAGCAATGTAATGTAGGTAAGTAGTTATATAAACAGACTTACAATCTATATACAATTAGAAGTCTTACAATTTAGAAAACTTATTTAAGTACAAAATTCTTATAAAGTTATGCAATGATAAAACACCTAAAAGTTTATTAGAGGAATAACAGCAGCAAAAATTTATTTAAACATAGAGAATTTCAGCAAAATTCACTACTGTAAAAAAATTTTTTTAATAAACTTGTAAAAGCAGAAAGAAAATATGTAAAGACATAAAATATTAGCTAACAATTACATTCGTCAAAGAATACATTAAAATACTCACTTCACAATTTTGAGGGTATGGATGATTTGGTAGAAGCAAAGAAAGAACTTCTAAAGCTGCTGGATCACAGTCTTCTAAAGAGACTGTTCTGTTAGAGCACCATGAAGCAACAACAAATATGTGAGTGGGTACAACAATTGGACCTAATGTTTCATTCCTGTTTTAAATTTTATGAAATAAATATTTTTATTAGAATATTAAAACTAGATTCTAGCAAATTATTTACTAAAAATCAGTGCTATTACATGAGAGTTATTTGGAAAGTAAGTCTCAGAATATAATAATTCCTGCACCAAAAAACGGCACTAATCTGTCTATATGGTATTGTATCTTCAATGACTAAAGAATGCGTCATAACAAAAAAATTTATATGGTGAGATGCTGACAATTGTAAAGGTGTTTAATATTAGGGATAGTCCCAACGGCTGTGAAATTTAGAGGCAAATCCATGAGGTGTAACACTGATACAGCTATGAATGAGAGAAAGCACAGAAGATAGGTTCAATTGTTCATTTCAAGAAGAACACACATGCATGATGAAGTGAGAAACAGCCAACTATCTGCTGCGAGTCATCAATTAGTTTATCTAATTGCTGTGAAAATTTGTGCGAATAGATGTTCATGAAATCACACTTGGCTGAAATTGAAACAGACCATTTCTACATGCAAAATCGTGTGCATCATTTTCTATAACAGAAAAGGTGTCATATTGGTAGATTTCACACCCAGAGACAAAACCATCATTGCTACTGCAAACTGTGTAACATTGAAAAACCTGCAACGTGCCATTCGAAACAAGAGACACTGCTTGCTTAGTGATGGTGCCATTTTAACGGCACTATAATGGCAGACGACATTCCACTCATGTGGCTCAAGATCTCTTTAAGTCCTTTATTAGGAACAAATGAAATAATGATGCCAAGTGACGTTTACCTATTCTTGTAATTACAAGTACAGGCAGAAATGGATGATAAACCAGAATTTCATGATTAGTAATATAGGGACAGTTCTTCCCCAATTATGAGGGAGAATACTGTAGGGAGCAGTCAGTCCAAGAACCTTGCCCTCCTTTTCCCCTACCACCAACCATTCAAGAGGACTTTGGCTCGCTGTGTATTTTGAGTCCCCTCTTGCCACACAGTCACTGTACACTTATAAACATCCATGCATTCTCTGGGATTCAAACCTGGGCCCTTTGGTATGGCAATCAGTGTCACTAACCACTATACCAGCTGGGTGGCAACCTATTCTTTCACTTAGTGATTCTTGAGTAGCCAGCATTTTGATGAGGATGAAGACGTGACAGATGCTTGGCAACAGCTTGGCTAACATCACAGGTGGCCAGCTTCTAAGATGCTGGCGTACAAAACTCTTTTCTCAATATGATAAATTATTTAATATGCTGGGTGACTGCATTGAAAATTAATGTAATACTTGTAAATCATTATTAAATATGTATCTTTGTCAGCATCTCTTTCTGCTTTCTTTTACATACTAATGGAACTTACCTTCTGAACAACCCTTATATTTAAATAAATCTTTAATAAATGATTCCATTGATGCATATTTAAAAATACTTAAATATTGTTCATATTTTTTCATATTGCTGCATTTCAATTTTTATCTGTTTTATATTACTGTGTATTTATTTTGTATTTCTTCAACTAATTTATGAATTATTTTACTGAAATTTTGAGTCTGTTATTGTGTGTTTTATTTAAGTGTCTAGTCTTTAAGTGCACTTATATTACTTTTACATATTAAATTGCTTTTACACTTACAATTATATGCAGATAAATGCTGGAACTGTAAAAGCTTAAAGAGAATCAGAAATTTTCTCCTAATTCGCTCCCTCCCCATCAAATTTGGCAATACCTAGAAATTTCTTATCAACTTGGCAACATTTTAGAAATTTTCAAAAGACTCATTTCTGAAAGGTCAGAATTTATCTTTCTAAATTCCTTACACATGTCTCCTTTGCACTTGTTTCCTTTTGCATTTAAATTTAATAAATATTAGAGAAGTATTTCAATTTTAAAATTAGACAAAACCAAGACACAGATTAATTTTAATTTTAAAGAGATGTATAACAGGCAAACTTCATACCCATTACCCTACAGTACAAAAGAATATTAAATTTTGTATATTAAGTAATTAAGAAATATCTACAATTTTCTTAAAATTTATATTTTAACTTATTCTTATGCACGTATTGTTGCTGTTTTTGTATATGATAAGTGAACTTTGTAGTTTTTATATACTAATTTTACTTTTGAATTGTCTTATATATATATATGTTATCGGTAAAGTATGAAATACCCACATTCTATAGAACACCTAGGCATTGTGTATAATGCCAGATGTCTTTAGGCAAAGTATGAAATATAAAAATTATTACATACTTTTCCTATGCATTGTATATAATACCTATGCATTCTATAGAAAGACAAAAGCTATTCAGGCAAAGTACGAAAAAAGGTTCTGATAAGACTATTTTATATGTTACTGGCAAAGTACAAAATGCCAGCATTCTATAAAATATAGAATATAAAATATGCCGATATATTGCGCGAATTCCCTTGACCCTTATTGACGTTAGGGATAGGAATTTGCACAGTACTTTCCAAAGAAGTGGGAAATCGTTTTTCCAAATTCCTTTTCATTTTTTGGCCAGTACTTCCAGATTGATTTTCGAATTTATCTTGTCTTCAATAGCATTTTCAGTTTTGAAACAAAGGGTGCACAAAATATCCGCTTCATTACCTTTACTAACATGGCCACAGAAGGTTATGTATATTTTGGTGACATTTTTTGCATGCAAGTACATCACTTGTTCCCTTTTTAAACACACAGAAAAGGTATCAGAAATGGAATGTCTGAAATATTGAATGAATTGAAATACATGTGAAATTCGAAACAAATCGGAGATGTGCTTCATACTTTGCTGGTTTCTCATTTAGCATTCTATAGAATGCCTAGAAAATGTGTGAAATATGAATCATTTCATACAATATCAGCTAGTTTTAGGCATTATGTACAATACCTAGGCTTTCTACAGAATGCCGGATATAATTAATTTATTATTAGGATTACTTTGGTGTTTGAAAATTTGTGTTTTATTTATAGTGCAGCAGTGGCACAAATTTCTAATGAATATAATAAAAATACATATCATTGAATAACTTACATTATATTTTCCCTGGAAAGTCTTATACCAGTAGCTTGAACATCAAATGCTGGACCCATGATCACATTAAGATGATTTTGTTCTCTAACCCACTCACTGAGAATTTGATTTAATTTCTCTTCCAATATTTTGGAGTGGTTCATAGACTTTGGAACTGAATTAGTAACAAAAGTAGCCTGTTCTCTGGCACTTGCACCAGAAAAATCTATTAAATAAAAATAAAAAAATTGAACTTTCATAATTTAAATAGGGAATTAACATATTATTTTATAAAATTACAAACTACAAAATATTCCATTAGAATTTTAATAAAATGCAACAGATAAAAAATAAATAAAATAAATAGAAAAATAAATAAAAAATTAAAATACAGATTTACAGTATTATTAAATAAATTAATTCAACTCTTCTGCAGCTTAAAAGCATATAGTAGTTCGAATATGATGTTAGTATAAGAATATTCAATAGGTTTATTGATCACAGAGCTAATTCTATTTATTCATTTCCATAATCATGGAATTAAAGGTTAATGGAAATTAATAACATGGAATTAAAGGTTTTCAAGTTTAGTAACTAGCATACTTGCTATAACTGCAGAAATGAACCCCCATCGAGCTCAAATAAAATTATAAAGATGCTGGTTATGCAAAGCAAACACATTTTTTTATAGATGAAGCAGAAGAAAATCCTTCTAGAACTTTTATCACATTGTATGTGTGTGGAATCGAAACTGCAAAAGCTAATACCAGAAGCTGCTATATGTTGAACGTTCTTATTAACTGAACACAAGATAAAAAGCCTCCTAGTAATGCAGTGGCATGTAAGAGGCTGATGACTAGGAAATTAGAAGAAAGAGTAATCATCAAGCTAAAGGGCACAGTTACATTTTGAAAAAGACAATTATATTTTTGAAAAGTTTAAGAAAGACCTTGTTGTAGAAGATTTCTCAGTGAAAGGCAACAATAAATAAATAAATAAATAAAAAGAGGAGAACCTCTTTCCTATCAAAATAAGATCCTTTGAAGTTAATGATGAGGCTCAACCCATCTCTCAAAGTTGATTAAAAATACCATCATTCAATATGTTCATCACTGAAGAATGCAAATAAAAGTACTGAAAGATATGCTTTTTTCATTTAGTTGTACTTTTCAGGTTTTATACACAATGTGTTATTTGATGTATTTTCAACAAAGTTGGATTTTGAGACCATAATGAATTAAACTGCATTCATAAAGAATCTACACTAGTTAGTTTTTAACCCATTACCTTACAATTTACTTTTAAATGATTCACTTATGATTCATTATGACTTATAATCACACAATTTTAGATAGAAATGATGACAAGAAAATGTGTAAATATCATAATAAGTTTTTTATAAGTTAGAAGAAATTTATATATTATTTAAATATTTAAATATGCAATAGGTATTGTCCACATCGATTTTGGCATAGAAAACATGGTGTTACCCATGTTGAATTTGGCATAGGAAATGTATTCTGGTGAAACTCATTACTTCCAGTTAAAGTTTTGATTAGAAAATTCATTTAAACTAGATTCAAAGAGTAATCCAAATTCCATTCTATCAGTTAAGCAGTGCAAAATGTGCACACACTGTTTTCTGAAATGAGTTTCATTTTCAATATTCAGATATTTTTTAAATGGATTTTACTAATGATAATTTTCTGCAGTTTATTCTTTAATAGATCAATTCATTTTAAAACAAAACATAAAGCAAAAAGCTCCATTTCTTTCATTTTATGTAATCTAAAAGAAAATAATTACTAACCAGGAGGATACAAAGGCCTCTGAAGAATATATTGCTCCTTTACAACAAATGCATCGTAATCCGTACACTGTGGTGCATCATTAATGGGAATTCGAGCATCGCCAATCCAGCAAATATTGTCAAACTTGCTAAGATTTTTCTAGATAATTTTAGAGAGATTTAAACAGATCTCAGACAAATGTGCATCTGCACTTCCAAAAACATATTTTTTTTAAATGTTTAGAAAACTAAAGCAATATAAATACATGTTTCTGAAAATTAAATTAAGCTACAAATAATAAAAATCAATAATAAGCAATTTTATATTTTTTGCAGAAAATTTATTTTCCAAAGAAATTAAAAAAATTGTTTAAACAAATGTAATAATGGAAGGCAATTAAAACTAAAAGTGCAGGTTAAGGTTTCAAATCAGAATAAAATGTTACAGAAAAACTTTTTAAAAAAAAATTTACTTTTTACATGTAATTTGTATAATTTTCATAAGGATGAAGTCATGGTCAGAGTTGAAATACTGAAAGCAGCTGTAAATTATGTTTAAAGTTATTTAGAAAATAATGCAGGTACATTTACAAGAGTGAAAAACAAGATGCACTTTTAAAAATAAAAATAATGGTTAGTATGAATACATATATCTTAAATACAGCAAAAAATGTGTACCTGTGCATTTAAAGTAAACGCTGTCCACATAGGTAAGTGAAATTTTAAATCGAATGCAGTAACATAATCTTTATTATACAATAGACGGAGAGTATTATTGTCTTGTGAACTATATGGAACTCCAAACGGCAAGTGCAAACTGTGGATTGCACTAACATCTAAGATGACAGCTTGCTTCTGAGACTGAAATGGAAAACATTAAAAGGAATAAATCCCCAAAAGCTAACATCTCAGGAAAATAAACATAGAAAAATGCATTAACTCTGAAGTATAAAAAGGAAGTTTTTATAGACATCATTAATATTTTGTAAGCATCTTGCAAATTTGATGTACAAATGCAGTACATATAAGTATTACATTTGAACTATTACACATATATATATTACATATGCATATGTCATATATACTGTAGATAACCTGAAGATAGGTGCATTGTGTAGATACACAGGATGACACAATACAGAAGAAAAACTTTCAGATATATCTATTGACTGAACATAGTTTTATTTTGTGATAAAACAAGCCTTAATAAGCAAACATGTTTACACATCATCATTATGAGTGTGGCATGCACTCCATAATTTTATATAGCTATTTACATCTTTAAATGATGGGCAAAGCAAAGCTATGACAATCACATTTTGATACAGTGAGAAGAAGGTAGGAAAGGTGAGTGCACATTTTAGCAAAGCAATATTTATAGAGTCAGCGTCTTTCTTTAAATTTTGAAGTGTAATTGGATAAAAAATATCTGCTATACTACTCTTACATAATGGCATAATGCGGATTAATTTTCATATGACCCACTTAGATTCATATATTACTAGTGTTAGAACAAGAAGAAGATGTGGCCAAATTAAAACAAGGATTTGAATTAACTATTGCTGAATTAAACTTAGTAGTTTTTTCACATTTTTATACCTGATATATATTACTTTATGCCTGCTTTTTTTAATGTTTGGCAAATTTTAAATTTGGGAGTTCTATTTTCTATGAGTAAATTAATTAAAAGTCAGACTTCTTCTTGAAAGATATTAATACCATTGCAAACATCTTTGATCCTGATAAGTTTAGTGTGAATAGTATTAAGATTTACATTTTTGGAAATGTTGGAATGCCAATTAATGAGTTTGATGGTATTGAAATTGAATTTTCTTCTTTTAACATCGATTTTTAGTTTTTTTGTATTTTAGCCATTTGTAAATTAAATTTATATTATCTTGTTGATGCTTTCCTTTTGTTAACTTTGAGGCAAGGTGAATAAATATTAGCTTCTCCAATTATCTCAAAATTATTAATTGCTAAGATGTCAACTACATATATGTAAATATTTGAAAAATGGATCTATTATTCATTATTAAACTCTTTTTGGAAATTAAATTCTTTAATAAAGAGGTGCAAGTTATATAGTGCCGAAGAAGAGTTAGAGCCCATAGGGATCCCATTAACCTGTTTGTAAATAGTATTATTAAATTTGATGTAATTTTGAAACAACACACTTTTAAGATAATGCACCAATTCTCTTGTATTACTACCATAAGAATTTCTGGAAAAAATGTTGATAGTGTTAAGAGACTATAAAAAATTTCATGTAATGATAATATAGTATACAGATATTTGAAGTCATAGCAATTAATATTTGTAATTTCTAGATCTTGTATGGCTGTCAAAATCTTGTGTGGCTGTACATGGTTATTAATAATACAACTGTCAATTTGTTCCTTATTAGCAGAATTAGTAATGATTAGAATTAGTTTAAGCTTTTCGGCAAACTTATAGTCTATTTATTTTAGGTAGTTCCTAGTACCATTGGCAATTAAACTGTATTTTAATGGGGGAGGTCCTGTGAAATTTAGACAGTGCATAAAGGTTAGAAAACCTTTTGTTGTCTGTCAAAGCAGTAATTTTAAGTCTGCGGTGTAAAGCTCTTTCAATCATAAATACAATTTTCCACAGCATTAGGAAACGCTAGTTTCTTTGCTATTATAGGTACAATGGAAATGCTATATTCAAATGATAGATCTCTTCAAATGCAAACTTTTCCTATTTCCCTTTATTTCTAACTATAATAGATCACAAGTTATGCTCAATCATAGGCACACTAGAAATAGCATACCCAACATTAGTCTCATTTCTAATACACCTACAATGGAATTGTTATACTCAAATGAAAAAGCTCTTCAAATGCAAACTTTTGACTACCCTCATTTGTTTCTAACTGTAATAGATCATGAGATATTTTCAATCATAGTTGCAAAACTTGTATTTGTTTCTTTTATTAATACTTTGAAGTTCTTTTTTAATAATGTTGTAATAAAATGATTTCCAAATGATATTGAAGTTATTACTTGCCTTGTCTGTTTTGGCGACTATGAATTTTTGACGCTGAATGAATTAAATTTGATGCAGTAGATTAATTTTATTTTCCAGTTCCTTTCTGTTATGGAAGTACTGAAGCTTGTTGGTAAGAGAAATGTGAAGTATGAAGTTGTTAAAAATCACATCTTTCCATTCCTGTAGTGAGCAAATTAGTTTTGTAGTTTGTATTAACTATGAATGTGTTTATGTTATTTTCAAAGTTGTTGATGTAAAAGATTTTGCTAACATTGAAAATAGTTCGAAATTTGGTGCATTAATTGTCTTAAAGTTGGGTCTCCAACAATAAGTAAATTTCCAGTAACAAAATTTTGATGGTGCTGATCAACAAAAAGAGATATTTTGGTAATTTCCATACTCATTTAGTCAGGTCATCTAAACTCATGCTGGTTAGAGATTACATTGCTCATGGTTTTTGTATATTGGAAATAGGGTAGTGTTTTGAAGTTGTGATCAGGAAAAAGATGTTGATATGCCTTAAAAATCTGATCAAGTTTAAACGAATCATAAATTGGATGATAAAGTTAATAGTGCAGTAAGGTTTTTACAGAGAAATTAGCTTTTGTTCAATTTAAATTTATAGAAGTCAATAACCAGGTCTTTGATTATTTGGTAGCCTTTATACTTGTGTTAGACGTAATTAAGAAGTTGCATAATATTTTATTATTGAAATTATGGCATAATTTAAGTATATTTTTTGTGAAAAACTCAAGTTTGTATAAAAGTTATTTTGAAGTAGTTTGGTATTCAAAGTAGGAAAAAAAAAATTCTTTGCGTTTTTAGTCCCTTCCCCCTTTTCTCTGAAAAGTTTTCTTACTGTAAATTTTAAACTGACTATAGGAAGCAGAGTCTTTTTTTTTTTTTTTTTTTTTTTTTTAAATCTGCTGTACTTTGTAAGTAGTAACTGAGTCCATATGGGTAGGAGATTTACATTGCAAAATGTAAATAGATCCTTTAAGAAGTCTTTCTTTAAGGTTATAAATGATATCTAAAATTGAGATTTGATGTTGTAAAAATCATGTAACTGAAAATGTTCAAGTACTGCGGCCAGAGGTTCTTCCTTTTTAGTAGAACTTTGACTAAAGTAAACCATTTTAATGTGAGATCTATGGTTATTAATTCTGAGATTAATAAGAGTATTTTTTGTCATGCCAATATAAACAAAATTACATGTATTACAAATAAAGGGTTTTTTTTTTATTTATACAAGCCTTTCTTTATTTCCCATGCCATTTGGATAAAAGGAATGTGCTGTGATAGTCCATGACGGTAGAGATGCTAAACATGCAAGATATATAAGGTCAAGAGAGCTTAAAAATATGTTTTTAATCATTTAATTATATTGTTATAATTGTTGTTAGTAAATTTTATGCTATTGGAGGATCAGTCTTGCACCAATAGCCCCACTGAAAACATTCTACAATTGCACACTACAAGTGTGCAAAAGAAACATTCTACAATTGCACACAGCCAGATTTAGACTTGATAAGGCCCTAAGCTTTTTAATATAATGGGCGCTTTATAAGTCTGTTATACTATGTTTTAATACTATTTATATTATATTTTAATTTTTTGGGGCCCCCAGAAAGTGAGGGCTCTAAGCTATAGCTTGTGTAGCTTGTACATAAATCCAGCCCTGCAATTGCATCAGTATTAAAATATCAGCATGTATAAATTATTTTTTTAATAGTTTCCCTGCTACACTCTGACAACAGTGAGAACATGAGGGGTGAAAAATTCTGGAATACAGGAGAAAAAATATTACCTCAAGAGAGAAAGCAGACATAAAAGCCTCTTTGAATCAAATTGTTGCTGTGTAACTGATGTAACAGCTTACTGAAATATATTATAAATTATGTATTACAGTTAAATATTATGATATGCTAACTGGCTTTTAAGGATTAATATCTGACACAGTATGATTCTAATGTAGCATTGTATATCATGATGCCTCTAATTTGTTTACCAATATGGATACACTCAAATGTTGTTATATTGTACTGTGCAGGGCCGTCTTAAGGAATTCGGCACCCATGGGCTACTAAAAATAATGCGCCCTTCTTCCTAAGAAAATACACAGAATGGCAAATGGGAGTCGGAAATGTTATACGAAACAAAAGTGTCAGAACTAGAAAAAAACTATTTATTACTTTTATAATAAACTGTTATCTTTATTGTAACTTTTCTTTAAAGTCACTTATTTAAAAGATGGGTATAAATGTTTATCCAGATTTGAGGGGATTATCTCAATAATGACAGTTCCGATCAGTTTTTAGTCTAATCCTTAGAACTTGATCGGAACTATTATATGATTCTCCATCAGTGCATAACATAAACAAAATTAAAATTTAATTAAAATAAAAAAAAAACATTTAAGAACAAAAACACACCTTAATCTAAACAAATGTAACTTATATATTTACTTTCCTAGCTTTTTCTTTGGCAAACTGATCAATAATATCACTAGTATTAAATTTTCAAATAAATCTCTTTCAATAGACAAAATACTTAAATCATTGAGTTTACTCTGTCCCAAAGAAGATCGTAAGTAATTTTTTATTCTTTTGATTGCTGAAAATGATCTTTCGCCACTGCAGTTTGTTGTGGCGATACTTAAAAATATGCGCAGTGCTGTGGTTACGTTTGGAAATGTAGATTCAATTTTTAACTCGATTATTGTCTTTAAACTTAGTTCTGCGATAGATATATTTTCGGTATTTTCCAATAAATTCACATGATTAAAATGTAGGCATTCTTCAATAAAGTTGTTTTCTGAATCATTCTGATATATTTCGCACAACTTTGCTGCATTATTTCTAATTATGTCTTCATTTTATATTTTTTAAATTAAACTAGAAACCCAAATGTTGAATAAATGTCAATATATGCACATTTTCTCTTTTGTACTTCTGCTAGAATTTTTATCAATAATAGCATAATATGTTTTTATGCGGAATTCGTCATTTGCATCAAGTTGCACTTCTTCCGACGTATTTTCGTCGAACTGTCTTTTTCTTTTCCGTAACCGTTTGTATTCATAACAGCCAGATAATTTTATACCTTCTGATTTGTAAAGGTTAAACGAATCTATATTTCGTTTCGATTGTACAAATTTTTCTAAAGAAGCATATAATGAAACAATGCATTCAATTGTAATATCAACTTTTTGAAGCGATATATTAGTTTTATCGATGGTTTCCAATATTTCACTCCAAAATGCTATCATAATAGCAGTTTCCAATGAGTTGAACACATTTAACAACCCCTGGGCTTCAACTTTTGTTGCAGGCTTTTGAAAATTATCTTTGTAAAGTTTAGTTAAAGCATTTTTAAAATTTTCATAGCCCGAAACCACTACTTTCACTGAATCAGCTCTTGCTGACCAACGAGTGTCGCTTAATTTTTTGGGAACTTTATTTTTTGCTGTTAGCGTATTTTTTAAAATTTCCCATCTTGATGTTGATGCGGCAAAGAAATTGTATAAGTTTTGTAGAAACAAAAACAATTTAGTTGCTTGTATGCAGCATTCAGCTGCCGATTGTCCTCCAATTAAATTTAAAGAATGTGCCGCCCACAGGGCACGTAAATGGCAAGATTATTTCTAGATTTAATGCGTGCTTGGAGGCCGTTATATATACCCGACATATTAGAGGCATTATCATAAGATTGTCCTCTACAATCTTCCAAACTAATATCTAAATCATATAATAGCTTTAAAATACAGTCTTGCATTCCTGAGCTCTTATGGCCAGTATTCTCCAAAAATTTTAAAAACCTTTCAACGGGTGTTCCATTTTTATTGACGTACCTTACGACAATGGTTAATTGATCCATATGGGAAATATGGGGCGTCGAATCTACTATAATAGAGTAATATTTTGCCTCTTTTAGTTCCTTGATAATAAAACATCTAACATTTCTGCCCAATATTTTAGAAACTCATCACAAATATTGCAGATAAATAAGAAATATTCCCAGTACCTTTATTTGCAAAATTAAATATATGTTTTGTTGCAAAATAGGGTCAAATTTTGCTAAAAGTTCTAAGCACCTAAATAATTCCCATTATGTTTATCACCAATAGTTTGATTTTCTCCCCTAAAAAGCCAAACCCCTTGAACTTAAAAATTTTATGACTTCGATGATACGTTCTAAAATATTTTTCCAGTAATTCGTATTTTTTTCCATTGATATAATAGAATAATTTTTGAAATATTCCCATTTTCTCTGTAGATCTGTTCACAATTATACAGGTGTTTTCTTTATGAAGGGCTGAATTTTCATGGTCCGAAATTTTTTCACTGTGGTTTCCAATCGTTAAAACCTGCCACTAAATGGATTATTGGCACTACCAAACAGTTTGCAAGGGATGCAATATACTTTTCCTGAAGTATTTGAGTATAAAAGCCAGTTTCTTTTTTGTTGTTTTCCGTTTTGTAAATGTCTATAAAATATCATTTTTGTAGCATACCTGCTCTGTGATTTGTAGACCACTTTAGATGATAATTCAATTGATAATTGCTTTGACATGGATGCACTGAATCATAGAATTTTTTTTTATGTTTTTTTGGCGGGGGAAAAGGCAATTTTTTTCAATATGCATTTTTTTTTTGTCCACTTTGATTTTTATAAAAACCGTTCAATATACTACCTAATTTCTTTATACCTTAAAGTAAATATATTTTTAAATATAAAATGAGAAAAAAAACCAATTTATTTTTTAACCTTTTAAAATTAATAAATATTATCTTGCTAAATGCCATTTTTTTATTATGCGTTTTTTTTTTTTTTTTTTGGTCCACTAGTGTATGTAAAAGGAAAAGAACTTAGGAAGATAATAATATAATTTAATAATTTCCACTTAATTTTCAATTTTTAATTCACCTTATTCAGTCGACAAATACTAAAACTATATCAATTTTACTTTTGTCGTGCAATCTATATCAAGGTACGCATCAGTAACCCCTTTATGTTCCTATTGTTACGAATTTGGTATTTAAAAAGCTAATGTTAGTTCAATTATAAATTAAATGGTTTTATTTCTCGCGCAGTGCAGCGCGTGACGAATATTAAAAGAAAGCTAAGCCGGAAAAGGAAAATTGAAAATACAAGAGCGCGTGCATTAAACAAATAAATATCTCTTTTTGATTTCGAGAAAGTACTGGAAAATTCTAGCGCGTGATTTTAAAATCTTATAAAAGGAGGAAAACATCTCAGTTTGTAGTTAGTTGCTGCTTAGTTTGTTATTGTTTAGAGAACTGATTGTAGCGAATTCGCGGATTAGCGTTCTTTAGCTGTTTTGAATTACGTTCTATTGGATATTTGAGTAGTTAAAAGATAACTACTGTGAGATATTGTAATACTGCATGATAATTTGAGAAAATTTAAGCATTTTTGTTGTGATAATAATAAATTTTTGTTCATTTTTCATCGGACTTGTGCATTCATTTCATAACGAACCCGTACGCACGCAACACTATCTTTTATCAGGATTGTTAAAATAATACAATTTACGTTTAGATAAATGAATATGCCCTGGCGACGCGGTGAGTATACGTAGGTGGTCTTATATTAACTCCAGTACAGCTCCGACAGTTCAAATGCGACTGAAACAAAAGTACGATCGTTAGGGTGTTACTCCTATTTCGGGTTGCCCTTCTCTATCTATCGTTTTTCAGCACATTTGGAAGAAATAAAAATCAGTTTAATATTTTAAGAAGTGTTTTAATTTAATTTAAAAATAAGTAAAAACTAATAAAATGAAAAATAAATTTTTACTATATCGCAAATAAAAAATTGCCGCCTCAAAAGGCTTGCGCCCTAACCACAGGGCTAAATGGGCTTAGCCCTGTGGTTAGGGCGGCACTTTTACTGTGTTCAATACATTAAATTTCCATTTCAAAGGCATTAAGACCATTGAAATGAGAAAGCTTGAGTGAAATTTCTATGTATTTAGCTCAATATCCATGGCAAAGCTTGAATTATAAGAAAAAATTTATATGCTTAGGATTCACTTTAGATAACATACAGATTAGGTGTAATTGACATTTTATTCTAAGCATGGTTTTATTAACATATTTTGTATTAAATCATATTAAATACCTGAGCACAAGAGCAGTTAGAAGCATTAACTCTAAGATTATATTCCACTTCATCTGCTGGAATAGCTCCAGTTGCTGGTGCATCAGGTTCTAACTGAGATGGCATCAAGGTAGGAGAGAGTAAGGTATGATGCAAGCTTCCTCTTGTCCCATTATTTGGTTGTGGAATGACATGAATCAGCTCTAAAAATAATCAAATTCTTATTATCTTTTAAATAATAACTTTCAGGAAATTCTAAGCATATTAATTGCAAAACAAATCCTTGGGGTCAATGATGATTACCATAGAAATATATATAGTTAAAATGACAGTTAATTTAATGTTAGACTTTGTATTTTAATTTCATAGCTATTTAAAGTAATTATAATAATTATAGTATTTAATTTCCAGTATTTACAAAAATAAACATATTTAATAACTTCACAAATCTTTTAAAGAATGGGAGAAAGATCTTTTAATTAAAATAATCTTAAACATTTAACTGAAAGATATAAGTCTTCTCAAGCATACTTAAAAAACACAAGTGACAGTTAGAAAAATAACAACAAACCGTAGATTAAAAAGGGTAACTAATTAAAAATTCTTCTTTGATTCAATCACTTGTCAATGGATATAATACCATATGAAAAGTTATACAGTTGTTCTTCTGTGGAGGTCATATTTTAAAAAAGTCAGATCCAATTATTTAAGGGGAGGAATCTTTAAGATCAAGATTTTATTATTAGCACTAAGAACTTGGGATTTACAGTGCTAATAATTCAAGCAACCATACAGCATTAAGATGTGCTTAAAATTTTTTTATAGTACCAGCTATAATTTCTCACCATAACTTAGCACATAATGACAATTTTAGAAACATTCGCTAATACTGAAATCTTAAGAACAAACTATAATAAATATTTTTAAAATACTGATTTCTGAATATCTATGTTATATTATCAAGGAACCCCCCACTGCTATATGAAAAGTAATTGGTTTGAAGATTTCATACAGATTTTTCTCCAAAAAAATAATAATTCAAATATATTTTTAATATTCCCATATACATGAGTTTGATTCGATAGATTTTAAAAGCATTTTAACTGGACTCAAAGTGTTCTGTCTCTCAGCACAGAAACTAATTCTTAATGAGTTTGGAAGTGGAAAAAGCCAAGAACATTACATAATTGCACAATGGAAGAGAAATTTAATAGGTGAAGGATAAAAATCAAAAATGGAATAGATCAGATCTTCCCAGGAAATTTTATAAATAATTAGGTAGTATGTATATTAAAATCCCAACATAAAATGGTAACTTGTTTCTTGTAGTAATGAGTCTCATTAACATAGGAAAATGTTCAACCATGTAATCATTTGATGAGAAATAAATATCCACTATAATACTGATGTTTATATATTGGTCATTCAGACTATTTTCCTCAACACTGCCAAAATTAATTAGAACATTCTAGGAAAATACAAACTATCAATTTTATAGCACCTCCAATAGCTAACAGGAACTGGAACTTTCATTTTCTATTTTAGAGTTGACTTGGACATTATTTTATCACACATAATAGTAAATTTTATTTAGGTACATTATTTATTTTATTTAAGACTTTCACAGTGCAAGAGATTTACAGTGCAAGAATAATGGAAGAAATGGCTGTATTCAAGGAATTACAGCCATTTCTTCCAATATTCTTGCACTGTAGCCATATCCAACTGGCAACATGAACTTAAGTTCAATTTCTGTTGAAAGTATGACTGATTTTTCAAGATCCCTGCATATAAGAAATTGAATTACTCTATCGTGGCACTTGAATTAAAATGTGGAAGATTATAACTTGTCATCAGATTGATTTCACTCACTAGTTATTGTTTTAGCCCCAGTTCCCCTTTAAGTCCAGTGAAAGAATGTAAGGATTAAATTCTCTGCAACTGTAATCACATTACCTTCAGAAAATCCTTGTGAAGATCTAAGATACCATCCAGTTCACTGCATAGATTTTAAACCAAACAATCATCAAAACTACATCACTCCATCTCATGTCCATAGTTTTTTGTGGAATACTTAGACTACAAATATCTTCCACTGTTTTATAATGATACTGTAAATCATCCTGATGTTGCAAAACAAAAGAGGCAATTTCAAAAGAATTAGCAAGTCCACAAGAGAAATAAAACATGGATTGTAGTACCTTTCTAACCTCCATTCGAAGCAAATGTGTTTTCATCTGATGGATCAAAAGAGCATTTCAAAGTGAGGTTAGAGTCTTAAGGGTGTTCCTAGAAAGATGGTGTTGGCTATATTGAAACCTTTTCTCCTGCAGTGAGATATGAAATTTTGAGAGTATTACTCACATTGGCTACAATTTATGACTGGACTACAGATCATTTAAATGCAGTTTTTTTTTTTTTTTTTCAAAGAAATATTGAAGAATTTATTTACATGAGAAGTTCCTAAAGTTTTTGAAGATCTGCAAAGAAAGTGGGGGTAAAGATTTAGTTAACAGATTTGAAAAAGGCATGTATGATCTAAAACAATCTGGAATAGTATGGTATACCAAAACTAGATGAACATTGAAAAGAATCAGGCATGACCTTGCACAAGCTTTGATTACTGTGTATATTATTTGAACTTAGCTGATAACATTTTACTTGTTGCAATATATGTAGATGACTTGTTAATTTTTTCAAGCTGCACCAAATTAAAACGCTAGTTTAAAGAAGATCTATAGATAAAAGGTTTGAGATGAAAGATTTGGGAGAATTTAGCTACTCTTTTGGAATTCAGATTCATATAAATATAGAAGATGAGATAATAGCAATGAATCATTGTGCATACACTAAATCTGTAATTCAGAAATTTTCCATGCATGAATCAAAAGCCAGTATCTACCTCAAGATAAAAATAAAAAATTTTCAAAATTTTGTGTTGCTGATGAAACTGAAAATGTGTCATCTGTTCATCAGCAAGCTATTGGATGCTTATTGTATGCAGCCAAAGGAATTTGTCCTGACATGGCTCATGCCAAAAATTTCCTTTGTCAGTTTTGCTAACAGCCAAAACATTTAATGAGATATCTTAATGGATCTAAAGCAACAATATTAAAATGTGTTACTTCTGGGAGTAATGAACTTATTGGGTACTCTGATGTAGATTGTGCTGGATGTCCTTGCTAGCTTTACTGTTGTGGCAGGGTATGCAACTTTATCTTCTGCAATTAAACACGCTCTGCAACTTTACAAATTCATGGCTGAATTAAATTTGCCAACCAAAGGAAAAAATTAAAAATTTCTTGTGACAATAGATGTTTGTTATTCATATTAAGCATATTGATGTTGCTCATTATACTGTAAAAAGTGACATAATTATAGTTGAGAAAATGTTAATGGACACTTCGATAGCTGACTCCCTTAAAAATCTATTCATAGAAAAAAGCACACATGATGTATGAAAAATATAGAACTTTTAAATGAACTCGCATCAACTGCGCAATTGGGGAGAGTGTTGATATTTATTTTCAAACATTAAGTGTGACAACATGCTTTACCCTATATTTCGTATTTTCTGATTGACGTCACTAGCTCGCTTGTTTTATATTGTATTAAGCAATGTTCATGTAGCTTGTCATAGTGAGGCTGATTTGATTGTATTAAATGTTATTTAATTAAACCAATGCCTGTTTTTATATTTTAGACTCAGTCCATTACATTCAATGAAAAAATATTTTTGTTTTAAACTATAGCATAACATCATTTTTTTCTTAAATGCATTAATAATAAACTAATTAATTAAGTAATCATAAAATGACTTCATTGTAATTTTGATTTAAAGTATAAAATGTAAAAATATTAAACATTAAAATTCCAAGTATAGTAATTATTTTATTTTATTAGTAATAATATGTATTTTTCAATGTGAATATATGCTTCTAACAGAACTTAAGATTATGAAGGTGAATAAAAATTTACTGCTTACCTTTAAATAATAAGCAGTTTTTGTGCTGGGATTTCAGTTTTACACTTGTATTCTCTTCAGTTTGTACATATTGAAAATTAGAAACTCACTCTTATTTTGTATATGAAGAAATAAGTCATCAGTTAATACTGTAATTAATCCTTTTTTTCAATAACAAATGTTCTAAAGTATAGCTATGATACACATCGGAATTTTATACTTTTATAATGTGTCATTAAAGTCATTGATAATGGTTTATTACTTGACTAGCACATTTAAGCTTTCAATTATTTATATAATTCATACATGCTTTAATTACTGATCAATAAGTTTTCCTTAGTTATAAGATAGTTTAGATGGATAATTTGATTATTGTACAGTTTAAAAGCAATATAGTTGGAAATTCAATAAAATTATTCATATCTAAAGAGAGAAAATTATATTGAATAAGTGAATTTTATTGGTAACTTATCTTAACTACAATAACTGACCATAATAATAAAAAGAACTTTGCATCTGAATAGATAAATTATTGCAAATAGTACTTGATAATAAATATATAGAAAAATATATACAGAGAGTCCCAAAACAAAAGAAAATAAAACAAACACTGGGTAAGAGTCTGAAATAATAATACAGCTTTTGCCACTTTTCAGTCATTTCTACTGATGTATTTGAATTTATATGATACAGTAAAATTTAGGCTCCATTTTTAGTTTTAATTAAAAAAATTTTAAAATTTACATTAACTCCACTGGTAATTTTCGATACTATTAATTTGCTCAATTAATAATGTATTTGTTAATTTTATTCATTGTTTTTCTTTTGCCTGTTTAGTTTTAATTTTAACTTAATCTACATATATACAGAATGTCCCGTAAGTGTTACAACAATTTTTTGGGGGAGGTAGGGCACATCATGAGGATTAAGAATTGCATAGAAACATATGTCCGGAAATGTCAAGAATAAGTGGTAGCAGAGGTAGATGACGGGAAAAAGAAACAAGAGTGATTAACTTGAAACATTTATTGGAATGAATACAAATGATGTACGACAGTTTACAACAGAAGCTCAAATTTTGCACCATCAGATGCCAAACATGCCTGACACCGACAGACCATTTATTGCCAGACACATTCAAACACACTGGGAGTTTCTTTGATTGTAGCAGCTGCGCAGGTGAGTATTGCCATGATATCCATTTCAGACAAAACAGGATCGTATATAGACACTTTTGATGGCTTCCCATAAAAAGAAATCAAGGATCGATAAATGCAGTGAGCATGGAGGCCAGGGAACTGGTCCATCACACCCAATCCATTGATGCAGGAATGATCTGTTCACATGGCTACAAACATCCAATCCAAAATGAATCCACTTTTTAATGACCCATAGTCGCACAAATTTTGATGCAGACGTGCAAACAAACTGTCGTATGGTTGATGTCTGAAGGAAAAACATTCTCAATAAATGTGTGCAGCAGTTCATTCATTAGCCTCAGCTATTCCATACACTAAGTGCATGTCTGTAAGCTCCCAAAAATGTTGGCCACCAAGACCAATCCACATCAATGAATTGGTCCATTGCGCCCAATCCATTGATACGGGAATGATCTCTTCAAATGGCTACTAACATCCAGTTCAAAATGAGTCCACTTCTTAATGATCCGTAGTCACACAAATTTTGATGCAGACATGCAAACAACTGTCGTATGGTTGATGTCTGTCGGAGAAGCGTTCTCAATAAATGCGTGTAGCGGTTCATCCATTATCCTCAGCTACTCCATACACTAAGTGCATGTCAGCAAGCTACCAGTTCATGTAGCATTCCATGATCTTCATCTTGTACCTACCACTTGAATAAGGCAATCCTCACTTTCCACTAGCACTCTCCTGTACATAACCCCCTGGTGGTGTACTGTGACGTTTCTCAGCATGGGTTCCTATGCAATTCTTAATCCTTATAATGTGACCTACCTCCCCCAAAAGTTTGTCGCAACATTTACGAGACACCCTGTATATATATATAAAACTGATGTATCATCTTCAGTTCTTCTAACCTGCTTTTAGTCAGGGTGTAATTTCTAAACTCGAAATGGCAGAGCTCTATGACCATCAGGAAGAAGAAAAAAATAAATAAAATAACTAATAATTAAAATAATTAAATTCAATAAACCATACAGACATATATAAAAATTTAATAAGTTATTAAATTCATGATGAATAATTAAATAAAAGAAATAAAATATCGGATATCTTCTTATTTGGAGCTATGCTTGGATTTACAATTTCCTTCAAATCAAAGAAATAGTCTTCTGGCTGAATTTAAGCCCTATAATAAACTATTTCAAGGGATGTCTTTTTCCAGCACACTAATAGAGAAAAGTAAAACGATTAAAGCATCACAAATGAGAACAGAGAGAATGTTAGATACAATATGAGAGTATGGAAAGAAATTTTAATGGGGTAGTGTAGCTTTGAAAACAAAGAGAGGCTATCAAGGAAGAATGCAACTAGGCAAAAAAAATTTCCTCTTAGTCTCATCCAATAACAACATGAGAATAAACGAATTTTTGTCCCCCATATTTGGTTACATGGCTGAAGTCTGCATGAGCTCTCATAAATTCATTGCATTACCTGGAGAATAAGCCTTTGACATGTGGATGGCGACTTTTGTTTCCTTCTGACATTTATGTGTTTTGATGGAGTCCTAAACTCAATCAAAGTGCTTGTTTGCCAGAGAAAGACAACTATACATTTGGAAATTATAATCAATTTTTAAGACATACTGAAATTTAAAATGAAGTATGTCTCTTTAAACTGTGTTTCACTTACATAATAATACTTTAATAAAAATTACTAAAATTAATTTAATAAAAGTGCCAGAGCCCTTTTATTTATGGCTCCAGTGCTCTCCAAATAGAATTAAGATTTACTACAGAAACTGAGATGTACTGGAGCCAGGCTCAAGCATAATTTAAGTTCTGCTTCTAGTGAATAGTGAGCTTCAATTTCAAGAAATGATCAGCTTATAGTTTAGTTTCAGGAATATAAAATAGTCTATCGATATGAAATTGTCATATTTATTCCCCAAAAGTAAAAAGAAATCTCCCCCCTTTTTTTTTCATTTAAAAAACAGTAAAATTTATTTATTTATTTAAAAAGTTAATTTAAGAAACTCTTATTTCAAGCAATATTTACATTTGTAAAGCATTATTACAATTTGGAAACACATAGACAGACATACCACAAAATAATTCATACAATTCTGTATTTAAAAAAGGTTCAACAGTGCAATTTTTCTTAAAAGATGGGCCATAAGCTAGAAAAATTGCCTGTAAAAAAAGGATTACCCATGTTAATACAAATTTAACAGACATCAGTACAAAATTAAAATTCTCACTTTCAATGCAGTCAAAAATTACGGTTTAAATTGACATGGCAAATAAAATTTATTACATCTGGAAAAAAAATAATAATAAAATTTTGGTTGTCCCTTCAGTTCCGTTAAAAATATATTTATCAGCAAAGACAGAGCTATATTGAAAGCTGCATTAAGAATAAACTTCACAAACAAATTTAATACTTGTACGTATTTTTTTTGTTTGAATATTAAGGAAAATTAATTTGATTAAACCAGTTAAGTTCTCATTAATAATTCATAAGCACTATGTAAAAAATATGAATTAACATTAGGTTTATGTTATAGTAAAAACTATTATGGCAAAGCACTCGAGGACTATCTGTCTTCATGTTCTAGAAATCATGTCCTAAATTTAATCATCTCTTCTCCCCATTATACTGTACATGTACAATAAACAAGATTATGCTATTTGCATACCTTCCTAGTGTAACAATTTTAATGGTCAGCAGTGTATTTTATAATATAATAAATAGCCTTTTTATTATGATTTAAAGTAAAAAAATAATTTTTAAGTTCACAGAAATAATTTAAAGTTTTATTACTTACAGTTAAAATGTAAAAATAAAAGAAAAAAGATTTGTAAGTAAACAAATGCATTTTGTTGTCGTGAACATGAAATTAATTGACTCAAAGAATATGTGAGCAGAAAATATCTCTCTTCACCATCACAAACAACACAAAATCTGCCACTGAATACCATGGATAACATGGGAAAGTTTGAAGTACAAAATTGAATAAATTTATGAAAGAAGGAATTTCTGGAGTTTCATTTTCGAGGTCAAGAAACATAAGGATTCAACAGAAAGTTCATAATGACATTTTTTATTCCTTAATACAGTTTAGATATAAAATTTAACTGATCTAATTATTAAGAGCCAGAAAGGGAAGATGTTACAGAATTGTAAATTAAGTTTTAAATGCAACAACTGTAACATTTATTTTGCACATTACACAAACATATATAGATATATATGTAAGATAAAAAAAAAAAAGAAAGAAAGAAAGAAAGAAAGAAACAAGTAGAATAAGATTCTAAATTTAATTTGCAGTAGTTCCTCAAATTTCCATTTTAATTTGATTATTCCCTCTGTGCTCACAGTCATAACATGATTATAACATATCTCTTTGAACTCACAAACTTTGATTTAATTAAAATCACCTAGCACATTTATCCATTCACACTTTGATAGGCCTCAGCTTTAAAAAGTCACATTTTTGTCAATTTTTTTTCCCTCAGATCAAACTTTCATTGAAAGTTCTAGAAAACATTACAGTGCATGTCTGTACTCAGAAACTACTCAATATTTTAACCAGTAACTTGAATTAAAAACACTGTAATGACAGTTTTCATAGCTTCTAAGCTACTTCAGTTAGTGACCATTATCTATATTTTTTGATTTCAATCTTTTTATGAATGTACATTTTAAAATTAATTCTTAATTTTTTTTTATTTGGGTTAATTTTATTTATAATATATAATTAATGATTTTAAACAAGCTTTTAAAATTGCAGTGAACATTTTTTTTACAAAAATATGATGTGACCTTTGTTTTCAAAACAAATTTTGAAAATATTTGTAAAATAATTTTAAATGAAAAAAATACTGTTTTTTTCTTTAAGTAATTAAATAATATTTAGTAAAAAATTAATAAATTAACATTAATAACAGTAAAACTTAAATATAAAATATATACATATAGTTTTCTAATCTCATTTACAATCAATAAATCAATAAAATTTTTTAAAGTTTAACTGGCTGTTTATTTAATTAGAAGTCTATGCTCAAATTTGTTAATTAGTGTCTACTGTACACTGTACACAAGAAAGGGGGGACAGTTCTATATCTCCCATTCTACTGGGCCGATTGACAAAATTCAAATTGCGTTCTTCATCTCTCGAAAGTGCGACATAAGATATATATTAGATTTATATATAGCATTACTCTAACATAGGTATTCTGACACAAAATAAAACTTTTCTGAAATAACATACCAATTTTTTTTTTCCATATTTCGATTCTATGACTCAAATTATGCCAGACTGCCAAGTTTTGTAAAAATCGCATGAGTAGTTTTTAAAAATTAGCTCTTAAAATTGTTGCTTCTCAGTGTTAATTGAATTTGGTATATATTTATTAATATCTCTTTTCTTATTAAACTTTTTTTATTCTTCCTTTCACATTTCGAAATTTAGGTTCATTCCAAATAAAATTCACCCATTTTTTATTATTTGTTTTTAAAATTTCTATTTTTAAATAATTTTTATAAATTTTTCGAAAACCATTTTGAATCATAACCTATAAAAATTTTACCATCATCTTAAAGTAGCTGTATTTCTAAGCATACCTGCAAAAAATTAGACTTTTTTATTCAAAATTTTCTAAGATATACACGAATTTACACATTTTCGTGTTTTGAAATTTGGCATCTTTGATGCTGGGTGTTTTTTTGAGTGATAATAACGCCAAATGTGTTTTTATGGATTTTGTTACAGTGAATTGTCACAGCTATTTTTAGCCTTAAATTTCGAATAAATTTTATGGAGAATTAATTATATGAAATTTTTTCCGTCAACGATGCATAATAAATATTTATTCATACTATATGAAAAGCTATTTTTTAAAAATTATTGATGATATTATTCAAGTTTTTAACCTTTTTTTTATATTTGTAAGAGTAAATTTTTACCTTCGCCGTGTTATCGTCTGCCACTTTACTTCAGTTGCATTTAAACTGAATTGTCTAAAACTGAGAAAGTTCCTTTGATTTTTTAAACAAACAATGTTGACAGTTTGCGTCATGTCCCAGCTTTGAAAAAATATATATAAAAATATAAATTTTTACATTAATCCTCTTTAAAAAATGTTTTAAGTAGTAATTTCCTCTTGTGCTGTAGATTATATAAAATCATCTTCTTTTTGGACTTTGCTTTAAGACGCAAACTGTCAACATTGTTTGTTTAAAATGTCTAGAAAATGAAAGCTTTTTCAGCTAAAACGCAATTGATGCAACTGATATTTTAAAAATTGACAATGCAAAATTTATGGAAGTGTACAATCACAAATCTTAACTTCTTGTGTCGGGGGACTTAAAAAAATGTAGAAGAAAGAAGGAATTCAAAGCAAAAAGGGAAAGGGAAAGGATGCTCAATGATGCTGGGTTTCAAACCCAAATACCAGCAAATAGCTAACGTAAAAACAAAAACGATATCATGGCAGATTAAATGAAAAGCACGGTTTTCCACTATATGATTGTATAATTTTTATTCCGTCATAGACATCACATCTATCATAAACATCCCTAAATTTCTCTCAGTTGAATTATTTGCCACTGTCGATGGTATCATCTAAAGAAAGACGTTTTCAAAACAGAGAACTTCTCTCATGCCTCCAAATGCCATATCTGAGCTAAAACGCAATTGATGCAAACTGATATTTTTAAAATTTGACAAGAATGCAAAATTTATGGAAGTGTAACAATCACAAAATCTTAACTTTCTTGTGTCAGGACTTAAACAAATGTAGAAGCAAAGAAGGAAATTGGGGGGGGGGGCCAAAAATTCAAAGGGGAATCTACTTCAAGGATGCTGGGTGTTCAAAAAGAAAACACTTGTGTGTACACCAGCAAATAGCAACAATTGAGTTTGTGCTAACGGAAAAGACAAAAACGATATCATTGCAGATTAAAGTGAAAAGCAACTGGTTTTCCACTATATGATTGTATAAATTTAAATTCCGTCATAGAACATCACATCTTATCATAAACGGAGCATCCTATGATTTCTCAGTTGAATTATTTGCAAATTCAGGAATTTATCCACTGACGTATATGGCTATCATCTAAAGACGTTTTCTCGTTTGATGAAACCAGACTTTCCTTTCATCTCATGCCTCCAAAATGCATAGTCTCTGAAGACTGATAAAGGCTTTGACCAAATACTAATGAAATGGATTGAATTGGAACCTTAAGCGAGAGATGCCTTTGTGAAAAACTTTCCAAGGGAAACCAGCTCGTATACACATTACACATGAGAAAAACCACAAAAATGCTCCTGCAACCAGCTGGATGCTTTTTAATATATTTTTAATATACTTGCAGTTGGATGCTTTTTAATATACTTGCAGAATACTTGAAGAAAACAAACAAGCTATTAAGAAGAAAAAAAAATTTTGCATAAAATTTAGTATTTTTTTAATTTAAAAATTTTTAATTTTATGATATTTGATTCTTGCGATTTCAAAAATAAAATAGTTGACTAAAATATGAATAACATGTTAAGAAATTAAATGTAGGATGATAAAATTATGTAAAGCAATGGACACAATGATAAAACTGCTTAAAGCAATGTATGCAAGTCATCCTAAATTAAAATGTCGGTTATACATCTTTCTCATTTATATATCTTTTCTGAACGGAACACTGAAAGGCGTGTTAACTGTGCTTTATTGCATTTTCTCTTTTATTATATTCAGTTTTCAGATGCATCATAGTCTGGGACACAAAGTATTCTTCAGTAAAGAAATGCAATTCAAAGAAATAAAATCAAATCCTGGAAAATTAATATTTAATAAATGTATATTAAAATGCTCAAATCGAATGAATAAATAGAAAATTTTAAAACAATATCTGAAGAGACAATGCAACACAAACAATTGACAATAAAAGTCTAAAAATTTAAAAATTACCTAAAATAATTAACTATGACAAAATATTCACAAAATACATACAAAGAAAGCTATTTGAAAAAAATAAACGATGCACCTTTTATTTAAACTACGCAGTTCGAAAGAGTAAGTAGAAATTTTTAAAACAGTTATTTGAAAGAAAACATGGAACTTAAACAAAATTAAAAAAATTCAAAAAAAGAAAAAAATATTTAAAATAATAACAGTTATAATTAAAAATATAATATAAAGGACATAATTTGAAAGAAAGAATGATGCGACTTTTTTTCCACTCACAAACAATGTAAAAAGAGAAAGGAGAATAGGTTGCCATATATTAAGAAGTGAACTATTTGAATTTCAAGTGAACTATTTGAAGTGACAAATTTTTGAATTTTTCTGTAAATTTCGCACCAAGTTTTACAAAATTTAACATTTAGGCATAATTTGAATAGTAGAATCAAAATATGGGAAAAAAATTGGCATGCTATTTCAGAAAAAGGCCGATTTTTTGTGAAAATGCCTACATTAGAATGGTACTACATATAAATCTAATATATATAGCTAAGATAAAAAACATACAATTCATGATATTAAAATACATTCACCATCAACAAACACATATATTTCATTATCACTACTATGATAATAACTACAGATGTGCCCAAATTATTCAAAGCAAAAGGAAAATTTCAAAAATTATTATATTTTCTTGATTAAAACAGATATTTTAAAATCCTGACAGTAATACTTGGTAGGAAATGTTTTGCTTTCCCAAGTATTTTGATATATTTCAGCATGGATTTGTATTTGGCATCAATTAAGGATTTTAAATTTATTTAATAACTGGGTTATAGTGCAATATTTGAATAAAGTTTTATATGAGCTTCTCTTTATTAGTTATTCTCTTTTACTTCACATTTCTTTTACAACTGACCAAGTTTTTGAGTGAATTTTATATGGACTAATTTCTTCCTGGCCAAGACAATATTTTTACATTATTTTTAGCTGAAATACTTTGAAGTATTTTTTGATTTGTGGCATAGTTCACTATTACTCCACAAAGGCATTTCTTTGTTCCCCCTCTTTCTTTCTTAATTTTTTTCCAGAACACCAAGCTTGTACTTGAGGCCTAAAATCCATTTTTAAAGCACTGGTATTTGATTGTTTTTAAAGCACTGCTAAGAGTTCTTTTTGCATCATATAACCTTTCTGAATTTTCAATATTCATCACAATCCACTACTGAAATTAAATACTTTACAATCTCTTGACTAAAGTATCTTCTGATAACATACTGGAGCATTTCTTCATTGATACAGAACATTTTAGCTTAAACATATTTATGGATAAATTTTTGTATTTTCCAGAATTTTTGCAAATAAAATATGCAGGTATGTTGGAAAATAAGATTTTTAGTGAAATTGAGAATAAAAGCAACAAACTGCAATTTTAAAATATTCATCCAGGTATAGTAAAATGTCAATGACTATCTTACTTACTCACAAGACCCCCACTTGTAATTTCGTAAGACATCCCACTTCTTAAATATTTCAGGTTATATATATTATCAAATATTGCATATTTATATATATGCCTATTCAAATTAATTTTGGACTTTTTCCTATGCCTGCAAATTTTTATTTTGTCATTAAATTATGTTTGCCTCAATATTCCAGCATGATACCATGTCTCAATATTCCAGATGCTTCCAAACTCATATAAATTAATGGATATACATTTTTTTAATCTGTGGAAATTTTATTTCATATTTTTGTGAATTTTCTTTGACTCCCTCTCCTCAGTATCATTTTTCTGCCACATTTTTTTTCTTTCCAAGTTTCTGTATGATCTACATTCTCAGATACAAATTTATAAATAAGGTCCACAGAATTTCGACCAGTATTGAATTTTTCAGCAATTTAATTCTGATCACAATTAGTTTCATTTAAGACAGTTTCAAAAGTTGCAGTTTTGAGAGGTTAAAGGGTTTCTTGCCTCCCCCTCACTAACTGACAAATGTACTAGAAAAAGTAGAAGTAAATAATAAGTAACTGAAAGATTTAAAAATTTACAAAAATATTAACATAGAAAGAGAAAAAATATATAAAAAGATTCTGTCACATTTTTAATTCAATTACCTTGTATGAAAAATACTTTGAAAAATAGAATTAAATATAATGGCAAGCACATTTTTACATTAAAGTATATTAGCAATTTAAATAGTATAAAATACAGCAATTAGTAAATAAAAAGCTTTTATTATTAAATTGAAAAATATATATTGAAACTGGATGTCTTCAATAATTGCTGATTAAAATTTAATAATATTATTATTTATAAATAAATGTTATCAAAATTATTGATTTTTTTGTTTGAGCCTAATAATTTATCATATCTGTAAATACGTATTACAAGACTGCTGAATTTAAACTGTGTTCCATAAAAGCTACAATCTTCTGTTATCAAGATATGTCTTTCGTTATAATCTTCTGTTATATGTAATTAACACTTTCATAATTAGTAATAAATATATAACATGCACAATAAGAAAATAAATATAAGAATTTTGATGTATGTATACAGCATTCAAACAGGTTTTGAGCAAAACAATCTGAGGCCTTAAACACAACTTTCTTTTGAAACCCTTTGATGCTCCTACTTAATTTTTGATGGGAAAAACATATTACACTTTTCTTACAGTTAGGATGATTGGAGGCTCTTTTAATTAGGACTTATGCCTGAATGTGAACCTAGATAGTAAAGGGCCTGCATTTTAATTAATTCTACTTTCAATCTGTAACATTAATTTTTAAAACAAAATTTAAGCATAATATTAATATATTAATATACATATGCATTTTTTAAACTTAAGTAAAGCACATGATAGTTGGATGATATTTGTGAAATTACATCTTACATAAAACATTTCATAGAATGCTATCACACATTTACATCGCATAGACAAGGGAAATAATTAAATATTGTATACAGGCAGTGTAAGTTTTTCATAAAAATCATAGTTTGGATTAAACTATCTTTCAGGAAAGAATTCCTTTGTTTACTCACAGGTAGAAAATTTACTAAAAAACTGATTAACACAGAATACAATAAGATCAAAAATGAATTTTTATACTATTAAGAATAAAATTTAATTCAGTTTTTTATATACAGCAACATAAAAGATCTGTTACTCTATTTACTTAAGTAAAAAATACCGAAAATATTCACTTCATACTCGCATGTCAGGGATTAAATTGTCATATCCATGAGCTCCTCCAGAGCAAAAATAATCATTAGGTTCCACTTTTTTGCTGAAACATAAAATCATAATAATTAAAAAATAAAACTAAGTTAATTATTGTTTGCATCTTTTCTTTATATTTTATCTTTCATATTTCATGTACAGTGTAAACAGTATATATATGTAAAATATAAAAAAAAATATGATGGCTTTGCTTTTCGCGAACACGCAACCTTAATTAACTTTCTGCAATTTAGGATCTTCCCCCTAGACCAGTACCTTCTAAAATTTGCTAGCCTATTACATAACCGCTTTTATAAATACTGAATGCGTGCCATTTTGTGTCAGAAACTCGCCACTCCTCCTATGCTACGCATCTCGCTGCTGCTTGATCTATCTTTCCTTTGTTAGAAATAGTAATGACACATAAAGTTTAACTTTAGTCGTACTTGGTTTAAACTACTATTGAATATGTGATTTAGAGAATTCCATATGAAATAAAGCATGATCTATGATAAAAATTTAATTAAAGCTATGGAATAAAGATGTACCATTAAAAGCTAAATCAACTTGCCTCTTCATTTGGATTAGCCTTACCACTCTGCAAAAACCATGCCTGAACACTGATGCCAAGCTTCACGACTGCTAAAATATCACACACACACACACATATATATATATATACAATTTTTATATGCATTCATATAAAAATAGTAAGCATAAAAATAATCGCTGGTTTCAAAAGGGTACAATTTTAATAGAACTGAAAGATTAACTCTGCCATAGTCATAGCTTAATCTTCACCACAGCCTACTGAAATCTGGCTCCATTACTTTTATATTTTTGGATAAATCATAATTTTAGCCAGAGCATACAGAAGATATCTCAAATAGGGCATTTCTTTTATGTAACTGCACCACAATTTCAGCAGAAAATTCTTTTGATCTCAAAAACTTTATTTTAATAATTAAGCCTTAAAAATCAATTCTAACTTATATATATATGCATTCTCTTTCCATGGGAAACAAACTTTTGGATGTAGATTAAGACATTTAAGGATAGAAAAATTCCCACTCACATGTTAAAGACTTCTTATGCAGGAAGTGCAATGAAATTAATTATTAACTCCTTTAATTTGGAACGATGCAGCCAAATATGGCAAGCGAAATTTGTCACTTACAATAAAACCTTAAATTTGTTCTCAGCTAAAATCTAATTTGGAGACATACCTCCCTGTCACTTTCTGTTTAACAGCTAGAATTATATCAGCAGGATATCATAGTCAAAAAGTGTTTGACTTTTCTCTCTCTCTCTTTTTTTTTTTTTTTTTTTTTTTTACTTTTATTCTTCATAACGTATACACCTCCATTAAAATATCCACCATACTCCATACTAAGTTACTTTTTATAGCACTTTTTTTATTCTCATTAGTAACGCTTAATCATTTTTCCTTTTATTACTGGTGTGTTGTAAAAAGATAAAATTTTTATTTCTATTATTCCTTTAAGCAGTACCTTTTACTGAATATTTATGCCTTAAATTCAGCTGGAGGCCAGCTGAGCTTTATTTTTAGTTTTTGAGTGATACTAATTCCAGCCACAGCCTCAAATAATATGAAGTCCGGTATTTTATTTTATTCGTTAACCATTTACTATTAATTTGATTATTTATTAAACTTTTATTTATATCTTAATATTTTAATAAATAATGAAGAATCTGCAGGAATGCATGCATGTTTCTTGCATTATGAAAAAACAATGGTACCTACAGCCATCAAATTTTGAATAGCATAGTCTTCCACATGAATCTGGGCAACTGGAAGCACGAATTTTGAGTTTGCTTTATTATCTGTTTCCTATTTTGTAAAACTTTAACAAATTTTTGATTAAAAAACTTAATGATTTGAAAGTGAGCAATGGCAATACTGAAAAGAGTAAGTCATTTTTATCACCAGCACATAAGACTGTCTATTGGAAATTCTAAATACATATATGCTGTTTTTAAATATTTTTTGCTATTTTGGCAGTATTGAGTTCGATTATAAATACTTGATATGCATGACACCTATTACTTACGAAATATTGAATATTGATGTGATAGTCCAGTTCCAACCATACATGAAGTCTTTATACCAGCCTTCATGCATTCTTGAAAAACATTCAAAGCTGTGGATAATAAAAGTACACTCAAACCTATTTTTGTGCGGTCTTTCTTGGTGCAATTTTTTTTTCTGATATATGAAAATTTCAATCCAATTGGAACATAAATGGCAAAGTTATCATCAATAAAAAAATGTACCGTAATTTCCAGAAGAAACGCCGCGGCGTTTACGTGTTTAAAACTTAAATTTTCAGCGGGTGCGGTGTTTCTACCCATGCGGCGTTTAGGTGCACTCTAAAAATAAAATATTTCCTATGATGGTCATTGTACATAGTTTGGATGGCCTTGTCATTGTGCATAGACTGGTGCTGTTCCCACACAAAAGACCACTCAGTTGCTTTTTGCGAACGTTATTTTGTTTACATTCTTTCCCTTGAACGGACCTACATGCCTTATTCACCCTAAACGAGATCTCAGAACAATAACATTCTTCCCCCTTTCAAATCAACATTCTCATCAGTTTGAATAGTCTTTCTCCTCTGCCATTCGATGAATCTTCCAGGACCCATCCTCTCCCCACTCCTGCCTTTTCTGCAATTTTTTTCAAAGGCGGACACGACTCCACCTGCCTCACAATAACGAACTCTGACGTATTTCCTCTTCAGCATGAATGGATTTTTCTTGGCATTCTGCCAAATACAGATCCCATCAGTTTGGGTACAAATACTTGTTGGATAGTTTTTAAGTAAGAAGGGAGCGGAAAATTTTTGAAAATGTCTCTAAACGGCACAGAAGCTATACATTTCTTACCTTTAATTTATTTTTGAGTTATGGTTTCATTTCATGCATTTTTCTTAACTGGTATGTCATATATCAGGACTTAGGTTGAGTTTTTGCATCTATACGGCCCATGACGATGTCACGCGCAATTTAATCTATTGCAGCGTTTACACTGATGCGGCCTTTCTTCCGGAAATTACGGTATGCTAGCACATGATATTGGTGGAGACAGGTTTAATACTTTCAGTAAAAATGATCTTGTCGAAATGATTCAGGATGAAACCATAAGGCATGATGACATTATAAATTATGTAACAGATGTTACCGATGAGCAAGAAGAACCCGATTATATGGCAGTAGATAAAATCTATGCAAGACTTTATCTTTGCTAGAAATTAGAATGGCATTTTCTTGCAATCGATGCCAATTCTGAAAGAACTTCCATAATGCCAAAAGGAGCTCCAAACTTGTATATTTGGCTACCAAGACATAAATAAGCATTTAGTAAAACAACAGTCGTCGCAAAAATTGATCACCGAGTATATGGTAACTGAAAAAAAGTCAACTCTGAATGAGTGTGAGGTAGTATCTTCAAGTGACGAAAGCTATTTTGAACCAGTTTATCACAAGAAAGTTTCACGTATTGTCAGACTATGAAGGATAATGGTTATACATTTTGAAAAGTTTTGTATGTGTAAAATAAGTTCATATGTTAATAAAATACTTTAAAATGTTTGCATGTGTATTTTCTAAACCAGATTCTAAAAGGTTTGGCGAGATTCCAAGTAGCTGCTAACGTCGTGTCTTGATTTCATTTAAAAAAGCAATTCCTAGTTATTTCGTAAGGTTTGAGTTATTTTCTCCATGAGACATTTTTTATGCAGTTTCTAGTCACCACATTAAAAAAATACTTTTTAATTGTGTTGCAAAATCTATTTTTTATAGTTATTTGTGAAACTTTGTGAGATTTTTTTTATGCATTTTCTTTTATGTATTTCCTATCCACTGCACAAAAACAGGTTTGAGTGTGCACCTACTCAAAAAAGAAAAAAAAAAAAAAGGAGGAGCAATTGTATATCTGATATTGTACACGGTTGATTAACAAAACTGAACTTGCAATTTTCCTGTTTCGAGAGAAGAACTAAGGCTGTATACTAGATTTTTATACTATATAGCATTATTCCATCATTCTAACTTTTGCATTTTGACACAGAATCTGACTCTTTCTAAAATGACATGCCAATTTTTTTTTTTTTTTTTTGCATTTCGATTCTACACCTCAAATTTTGCCAAAGTGCTAAATTTTGTAAAAATTACAACAGCAATATTTTTTTTTAAATTAACAATCAAAATTTTACCCCCACAATATTATTTGAATTCAGCATACATGATATAATGTTGACTTTTAAATTAAATGTACTTGAAAATTAGTTCCTGTCCTGGTGAGGTCATTGCACATTTTTCACATCTCCAGCTTTAAAATAAAAAAAATATCCAGCTGACTCTACAGAAACATTAAAGTTTTTTTGAGGCAATTAAAGTTTTTTTGAGGCAAAAAAATTCTTCAGTGAGAAAAAGTGGCCAAATTACTTTTGAATGAAAGTGAAAAAAGTTTACCAAACTATATTTTTGAATTACTCAGTATGTTTCTCACCAAATTTTACAGAATTTCTTTTTAGGCATAATTTGAATCCTAGAATTTAAATATATGGGGAAAAAAGGTGGCATGCCATTTCAGAAAAACTTCAATTTTGCATCAAAATACATATGTTAGAACATGCTATATACTATAAATAAAATATATAACCTAAGTGGAACTTTGTGTGTGTGCGTGTGTGTGTGTGTGTGTGTGTGTGCGTGTGTGTGTGTGTGTGTGTGTGTGTGTGTGTGTGTGTACATAAATTTGACAAATAGCCACAGTAAAAGTCAAATGGTCTGGGGTCCATTTGCAAACAATTTGATCATTGGGTTCAGCATGACCTTTTCACTGATTTGGAAGGTTTTCATTTAGAGACATGCACAGAGCTTCTGAATTAATTGCAGCTGATATGAGAGAAACCAGAAATGTCTGTATAACATCTTATTTATTATTGTCAAATGTCAACTTAGTTGCTGCAAATAGTAGGACACTAGTAGTTAGAGCACTATTCTTGATGGCACTGCACTTTAGTAATGGGAATTATACCTAGCGATTCTCAAAAGGAAAAAAAAAAAGAATTTTTTTTAGTTAATTTACTGATGGATATCACACTTACCAACTTCTTCAGTTCACTTTTTATGTTATAATATCTTGAATTCAATTGCCAAAAACTGGCTTTGTGCTTATTCTGTATATAGGTACATATATGAAAATATATTTACAAAAATAACTTATATACTTTTATATGCCTTTCATATATTATTAGTATATGTATACAAAATAAATTTCACATATATTAAGATAAGATATATAATTATATCTATTATTATCATTATATTAATACAATTGTGATGAATAAATAGCATATTAACATTATCATTAATTTAATAAAATAATTAAAATTTACCTAGAAATAGTCCAACCAGCATCTATATCTAAGACTATAGGCTCAATTCTTGGATTATCTGCATAATGCATTCTAACTGGCAATTGTTCTTTGCGGTAAACTCTCATGTTTTTGTTTTTGCAATGTAATTTAGAAATCTCATCAGATACTATAAGTGAAAAACAAATAAAAATGGGTTTAATATTTTTATTTATAGAAAATAAAATATTTTAGCTATTTTATTTAACTTTTAAATTTGTATTCCAACTTAAAGACAGTTTTTCCACCTGTCCTGTAAGATTTCATTTTTTTTTTTTTTTTTTTTTTTTTTTTTTGTGACTGATCCGCATGAAATACAAAACAAACTTTATTTTACAAATGTTTATTTTCACAATGAGATGATCAAATGTTTCAAAAAAAATTTCTAGATATGATAATACAAAATATTATAGTTTAGAAATAAGTCTATATTTATAACGCAAATAAAATTATAAGAAATAAATAAACTGATGCAAATTTATCACTATTTTTATTTTCATTATTAAACTGTATACATGTATATTAAAAATTAAAATAACAGTATGGGGAGTCATTTTTGAATGGGGTTATAAAAAAGTTCTTTATAGTGTAGCAATTATTTTATTAACACACGGACATTACATTTAACTTTAAGAAAATTACAAACCAAGAATCTGATACAACCTATCAGGTTAATCACTTGGCTTTTACTAAAGTACTTCTCTGGCTACTCACCAGAGGGCACCCTTGTAGCTACAGTTAATCCAACAGTTTATATTAGCAGCACAGTTTATATTAAAGAATGGTTACAACAGCTATATATGTCAAGGTACACAAATAACCATATAGAATATGCTTATATTTCAAATGAACCTTTTAATTTGGAGACATAATCTAATTTTTCATTTGTGATAAACACAAGTGCACTAAGTAGGCAAACATTTTGAAAAAAAAATACCATTTGGCACATTAGTGATTTTAAAATGTATATTATACATGTGGACTTCTATGCATAATTAATTAAACTATATATAATACACTAACTTTACATACAATGTCCATAGAAAACCTTATATGATCTTTATTTTCAAAAATATTGGTCCAAGGTATCTACTTCCAATCACAAAAATGTTTTGGTGCAAAGATCCACGTTTTGTACTTTCAAATTGAAAACAAAAAATAATTTAAAAAATTTTAAAATATAACTTTTTACCTGGTTTTTCCATCCTTATACAGTACAAAGTCTTTAATATGGACGTCCATAATCCGGAATGATCTATAATCCGGACCTAAAAGCTACAAACTTTCTGCGTATGCATAGCGTTTACGCATGTGCATATGCGTTGACGCATGCACATAATTACCTTTATGCATGTGCATATGCATTTACGCATGTGCATAATACGTTTACGCATGCCAAAATACGTTACAGAATCGCAGAAGTCCCGACGAGTCCGGATTAAAGACTTTGTACTGTATTTAGTAAAATTTTACACTTGTTTAAAAAAATTAGGCACAAAAAGTATGACGAAGTGTTAGTCAAAATAAATTAAGATAGTTTAAGATTGTTCTTTTTCTGATTTAATGTCATTCAGTGTCATTTCTTTGGCATTTACTTAATCCATTAATATCGGAATTTTTTATTATAAATCCTAATTTTCAGAAGACATGATCCCAAACTTTAAAATTTAATATCTCAGCAATTTTTGTCGTAAAGGAGTCAAAGGTCTGTGTTTCATTTTTTAAAAAATAAGTATAAACTTTTACACATGGATTCAGAAACTGTACAAAATGTTACCAAGTTTTACAAAATAGATTTTTTAGATTAAAATACTAAAACATCAATATTTCCCTTGTTTAAAATATTTTTGTGAATCTTATATATATGCGGCTTAAGTGCTTGTCGCCAATAGTTTATTGGTTGCTTGCATAACTGTAAATTGTTTTATTCCTGGTGCAGTGCAGCATGTGACGAATATTATGAGAAAGCTAAGCTGGAAAAATTAAAAATACAAGAGCATGTGCATTTAAATTTAGCATCTGTTTGTCGCCGATAGTTTATTGGTTGCTTATGTAACTGTAAATTGTTTTATTCCCAGTGCAGTGCAACGCGTGACAAATATTATGAGAAAGCTAAGCTGGAAAAATTAAAAATACAAGAGCACGTGCATTTAAATTTAACATTTAATAAATAAATTTAACATCTATATATAATAAAATTCGGAAATATGCAACCGGCAATGATGAAAAAACAAATAAAATGAAATAAATAAATATCTTTAATATATGCGGCTTATATGTCTGTTTGTCACCGATAGTTTATTGGTTGCTTGTGTAACTGTACTAGCCAATGGGCTGAAGTTGCCACGGCACAGGGTTGCCGTTTCAATTGAGATGTAGACAATTTCCTGTAAAACTGACCTTTGCTATAACCATCAATAAGTCTCAGAGCCAAAGCTTAAGCGTGTTGGCATTTTTTTTACCTGAGCCTGCATTTGGACACGATCAACTTTATGTTGCCTGTTCAAGAGTTCGTGAAAGAACGGATGTAAAATTAAAAATAATGGATGGACCTCTGCAAGGCGAGCTTAAAAATGATGGAAAAGTCTACACAAGAAATGTTGTGTACAAAGAGATTTTTGACATGCCAATGCCAATGATTAAAAGTTACCTTGAATTAACATTTTATTATTTAAATCACCTTTATTGAGCTAGCGGTGGCTTTTAAGAAATGTACCATCATTGGTTCCTTTATTGCACTCTACTTTAAGCAATTAAGTAAGTAAAAGTGGGAAACCCTGTGGGGCAGTAAGCAAAGGGTGTCCTTGCCGCCTGACCTGGGTAATTCAGTTTGAATTAGCAGACACCTTTGCACAAATAATTTTAATTACAATTTATAATATCTAGAACAGCGGTCATTTCGTATGACCGCCGGACTTTCTAGTGGAAGCATATGATTAATGGTTGAGAAGCAAATACTTCATACAGACTTTTACTGACATGGAGAATATTAATGTATTTAAAAAATTATAAAAAATAGAAGAACAATGGAAATAATTTTAAAAAAAGCAGTCAAGACAATACAATATAAATTATTAAAATGGTTTAATATGAAGACATAGCAATTACCATTAAATAACAGAACATGCTACATGTTCAGAAAAATTTAATTCTTAAAATAAACATACATATGCATATATTGTAAAAAAATATAAATAATTATACTGTTACTTTCAATGGATAAAATAAGGAAATAACCTTAATTTCCACATTTTTGTATTCATCAGACTCTATTTTACTCTCTATTTTACTTATTCTGGAAAGCTTCTGGAATTCAATTTAATATTAATAAAAATTTCAAAAAAATAATCTAGATTTCATTAAATTATGACGCAGGTTTTACTCTAGTGAGCTCATTAAAAAATTGAAAAAAAAAAAAAAACCTGATATGGTTCATATTTTAACGATTGCACAAAATGGCTCTTTCAAAGTTTTAAAAGTTTGTCAGTAGATATTATTTACAGAGATGGCTCAGATGGAATAGTGAAAATTTTATAGGATATTAGATGAATATGTATTGAGAAACATGGGAATGTTATATATCTTCTGTATATTTGAAAAAGAAAAGAAAAAAAAAAAAAAAAAGAAAGAAAGGAAAAAAAAAAAAAAAAAAATGTTACGTAATTCTTTAAAAATATTTAATGTTTTTAATTAGATATACATTCTATTTAAATCAACCAGACTAAAATTTTTTAAAAATAATATTCTCAATAACTGAATCTATTGCTTTCAGATAGTTTAGTTTGTTAATTAATAACAGACAGACTAAATATGAAAGAAGGATATCTTATGTTTTTCAAAATGGCAACAGACTCCAATGAAAAGTGAAACAATGTAAATTAGTGTTTGAGAGACTAATAGCTCTTAAAAAAAAAATAAATAAATAATAAAAAAAATCTGAAAGGTTTCAGATTTTAAATTACGTCCAAAGTGCTGTCTTTTAAACATTTCCTGTTAAACCTTTATTTATTAAATATCATGTTCTACATACTCAAACCACAAAATTTAGTTCAACAGCAATATCACAAAATAATTTTTAAATGAGCACATCTTTAGAATTTCCGTAATAGAGTCTGGTGCACTGGAGATAATATTTTTTTTCCGGCACAGTGTTCCCATTGCTCGCTTTGAAATTGTTTAGTTTGTTAATCAAAAACTCGTTGAAGTGTTACAAACTATGCAATTCATAATACAACGTATTTCAAATTCAAATTAGCGATTCCACATGCCCATATTCTATGGAAGATTACGTTATTCAAATTTTGGTGACTCCAGGTACCATTGCTTCATCACAATACACGGAGAAACATATATACATTCATGCAGATTCTTCATCATTTAATTTCTTTAAATATAATAGAGGGCGATTATATTTGGTGGCAACAATTTGAAAAGTGAAACATCGTTCATCACGAATCCATGCAAAATGCGAAAATGAAATTAATAGTCCTTCTGGGCAAATTGCCTAAATTTTGTTATTATTTGGACTAATAATAACAAAATTATTGTGCCCAAAGGTGCATTTTTTTAGCGTTTTGTGTATTACCTTTATTTATTAAATATGTCCTTCACACTTAAGCCATAAAATTTAGTTCAACAGTAATATACAAAAGTATTTTAAAAAGAGCATATCTTTAGAATTTCCAATACACAGCCTCCTGCTCTGGAGATAATTTTTTTTTTTTTTTTTTCTATAGTGTTGCCATTGTTTGCTTTGAAATCGTTGAGTTTCTTAATCAAAAACTCATAAATTCTTTACAAAATATGAAATAGATAATAAAACAAATTTCAAATTTGGACTTCCAGATGCCCATATTCGAGTGGAGATGTACATTATTCAAAATTTGATGGTTGAAGGTACCGTTGATTTATTACAATGTGAGAAACATATATACATTTATGCAGAGTCTCCAATAATTAAATTCTTTAAGTATAACAGGGCAATTATATTTGGTGGCAATAATTTGAAAAGTGATTCAGACTTTTCAAAGAAGACTTTGAAGTGAAAGACTTTTCAACTCAAAAGGCCAAAACAAAATTAATAGACCTTTGGGCTAAAAAAAACTAAATGAATCTAAAATAAAACAATCATTTATCCCAGATTGTGAATACATTTAGTTGAAAATTTTTTCTTCCTTCATATCATTATTCTAAATGAAATTTTCCTTTTAAAAATTAAAAGAATTACCTGTTTTGCTTTCTTTTGGTCTCACTCTACCCAGAGCACCCACAGTTATAAATGAATCATTAACATTTATATAATTTTGAATAGGAATAACTTTCTTACAGCTCACATCAGACATGCCTAGGAAAAAATAAAGAAGTTATCACTAATAATTATACATGGCTATAAATTATCTAAATAATACAAAGAAATAAATATATGCAGTTCATACAATCAACTTTTATATAAAATATCCTCCTATTATTTACTAATAACAGGATTTGATAAATAACATTTCAAGGTAAATTTTACATATTTTAACAGCTATACAAGATAGAAATCCCATAAAAATATTTCAAATTTCGATGGAGAAAAATATGTACATATTATTCGAAAAACCAAACTTTTAGCTATGTAGGACTGCAGTTTCATATTATCATCATGATGCATATTTCTTTTATCAAATAATGCAGTCTTTCAAATCATTGCTTATAATACATATCAATCACAAAACTGATACATTTTAATTTTCATCAAAAGTACAAATTTAGCACATTAATTTTCTTGAAATTCAAACAAAGTTTGCAGCATGGTTCAGAAAACAGTAAGTAAAGTTGAGTTCATCAAATGTGGCCAATATATTATAGTAATTAAAAAAGGAAACCACCACAAAAAATTATTTCCAAACACATTTTCAACTATTTAAAACAATGCTCAAATTACTACAATTCATATATTAAGTAGTATTTAATCCAACATTTGTTGAACACATTGTTAAGTTTCAGATCAAAATGATCAACCACATTGCCCCAGAAATCAACAATAGCATAGCCTGAGTAATAGATAAGAAAAGGATTCATACAAAGTGGCACATCACTATTGCATATATATGTGCGTATGCAAATTGTGATTTCATTATTAACGCATATCGCTATTTAGGGCATATCTATATCTACCTATCTCTCTATATATATACAGTGGCTCCCAAAAGTGTTCAGACACTTAAAGAATTTGTAGGAAAAGTGCTGTAGTCTGGAACTGAATGCAGATATAAAGCCCGATATTTTTTCATATCACCTCCATGCAATTTTGAATAAAACTAAACTTTTTTTTAAATGTTGACTTATTTTCTTTTTCTAAATATGAAAAATGTAAGGAGGCATAGATAAAAGGTGCCGCAAAAGTGATTGTACACGGAAACATTTCCGCAAAATTTCATAAATAAAATTATCATCTGCCACTTTTTTTAAATTTCTGTATTTTGATGTTGTTTCAAAATTCACTTGGCTGTATTCTTTGATTGCTTATTTCATTATATTTAATATTTAAAAATAGATCATAGTCATAAGGAAACAACACATATTATTCAAAAATGACCATTTTTCATCATAAGGGGACTAAATCGAACCGGGATATTACTAAATTAGTAAGTTTATCCCAACTATGATACAGTAGGCGATAAAATGCCTTAAAGGAGAAATTCGAATCGGAAAAAAAATGGGGTGAAAATTATTAAACACTATAAACTATTTTCAAAAGAGAATCTTAATAAGGTAATAAGAATGGAATAGTAGAATATAATAGAAATAAGGTATTTCTCCTGCTTTCTTAGCATGCCTTCGTGATGTAGTGGTCTGCACACTGGGCACGTATTCCAGAGGTCTGCGATTCGATTCCCGGCGAAGGTGCTGCTCATTTTTCATCTTGCCTACTTCCAAAAATACCTAATGTCTCTACAATCTTATCACAAGATTTTATAGAATTTGTGTCCTAGAAAACCCTGATAAGCTTCAATTACATATATACATTTATGCAGAGTCTCCAATAATTAATTTCTTTAAGTATAACAGGGCAATTATATTTGGTGGCAATAATTTGAAAAGTGATTCAGATCTTTTAAAGTTTTCAACTCAAAATGCCAAAACGAAATTAATAGACCTTTGGGCTAAAAAAAACTAAATGAATCTGCATAAATGTATATATGTATTTTTAATTTAAGGAAATTTTGTGTATAATTATCAGATTATGATTCTAAACATCATGAAAATATTAATAACATATTTTTTGGCATTTCAAAACTCAGAAATTGCTTGAATGAACATTTTTTCCAACATGCTAAAAGTATATATGTATTTTTAATTTAAGGAAAGTAAATGTATATATGTATTTTTAATTTAAGGAAATTTTGTGTATAATTATCAGATTATGATTCTAAACATCATGAAAATATTAATAACATATTTTTTGGCATTTCAAAACTCAGAAATTGCTTGAATGAACATTTTTTTCAACATGCTAAAAGTAATAAAATTTAAAATTAAAGAATGCTATCTACTAGTAAATAACAAAATATCACTCAGTGACAGAAAAGGGGGGAATTAAACTCAGAATATTCTAATTTGTTTTTTAACTGAACCCTCAATGAAAGTCAAAAAGAATGTAATTCTAAAATTTTGAATTAAATAGCTTGGTCAATTTTTGTATTATTGAAGTTAAGAGATTTTGCGTTTTTTTTTACATTGAGTATAAAATTTTCTTAAATATATCTATAACCATGAGGGAATCATAATAAAAAACTAGATTTTGTTAATTTTTATAAATTTTTTTTTTAAATTTAAAAATGCCAAAGTTGAAACATTTTTATAGGTGAAAATATGTTTATGATCAACAGCTGCAAAATTGGCAACATAAGAATTTTTTCAGACACAGTGTATAATGTCAGCAATTCATCATCATCACATCATGAATAAATCATCATTCTGTCTTCCATTTTCATTTCAAATAATGCATTTCTTATACTTAATAAAAATAAAATAATGATTACAGAGAAAAGTCATTTTTAAATTAAAAATATCAATAGGTGGTTGTACTTCAGCTTTTATTTGACTTGAAGTCATAAATAGCAATAAGATTTAAAATTAATGACTTAGTCCGATTACAGCACAAAGTTAATAAAAAAAGTAAACTAAAAATCTAGTTTAAAATTTATATTATTTGATACAAATTAAAGAAATATATTAAAACATGAAAAATGGATAAAAAGTTAACTACTGTTCTCACCATGATCTGAAACAATTATGATATTAACACAATCAATTAGGTTCTTTTGCTGTAACCTAGAAAACAACCTTGTTATCATTCGATCTACTTTTGCCAAAGCTTCATTTGTCTGAAATAAAATTCAGAGCTGAATTCAATTATTAATTCAATTCAGTGCCACATAGAGATGCAAAAACAAATATTATGTATTATATATTATTTATGCAATAATACTTATACATTATAAATTAATGTCATTCTTTGATATAATTTATGCATAACTCAAAAAAGTTAATGAAAGCATTGATTTGAAATATGCTTATTAATTACTCTTGTGACAGACTTTAACTACTACAGTCAAAAGTCGTTAATTTGGACACCCATAATCCGGACCTCAAAGCTACAAACTTTCTGCGCATGCATCGCAAGACCTTTACAGCTGCGAATATGCATGTGCGCACGCGCATAATACGTATAAGCTAAGCTAAAATCATCTAATTCAGTTAATGTTGCAGATTGCATTGTTCCTTAATCTTCGAATTGGATCCGGCTTATTATTTTTTGCAGACTGTTAGAGCAATTTTATAAAAGTAAGCTTGAACTTTCGATTATGTCAAATAGAATTTCCGATATATATTTACTAATATGTAAAGGATCTACAAAGTGGAAGTATGTTTCGAACTCCATTAAACAAAAGTGGAATTGCTGCAAAAAATCACCTAACCATTCCGAAATCTGTTTATCAATTTCACGCTGCTCTGCGGCCGGGAGGGGGGGGGAAAGCCGCGGCGCACAGTGAATTGGAAGTTGATCTGTCAGCACTATCCTTATCTTCATGACAGATGTTTTTATTTTATTTGGCTTATAATTCCTTACTAAATGAAGTATTTCATCTCGATGTACTCCGTCTTTGATATGATCTAAATCAAATTCCTCGTCATTATTTTTCGCTTCCGGTAGTGAAGAAAGTGACACAGAGGTTATTGAAAACGAAAAAATTTCGATTGACAAATTAGTCGGTATTCTTGACACAGCAATTATAGGACTTGAACAGCGGAACTTTGTAACTGAACAAGAAATTATGTCTGTTTATAGAATTAAAGAGAAAGTATTATCACATAAAACGAAGCAACTTAAACAACTTACATTGAAAGAAATGTTTAATAAAGTAAACAAATAAATATTAAGGTTTATTTTGTAAATTTTGACACCCTTTAGATCATAATTGTTCTTTATTTCATAAATTATGGTTTCATATTTTTAATTTTATAATTTCTGCATGCCATCTTACCAGATTAAACTGACGATATATAATCTGGAAAAATCAATAATCCGGAATCGCCGAAGTCCCGACGAGTCTGGATTAATGACTTTTGACTGTATTTCATACTGAAAGACATTTATTTTCATTCTAATTGAATGGAACATCTCCTTTCATTTCACAAAATACTTAAATAGGTGTTTTCAATAAACAGCTTTATCCTTTTACTTCATTTGAGAAATATGATTTATAACACAAAGTTATAAACATTAATAGATATTTTTTCTTTGTGAATTTTAGGAAAAGTTATACAATTTCATCATTAAAACTAAAATACTTTGGAAGATGTAAATATATAAAGTTTTAGGTTCTGTTGCAGTTCATCTTAAAATCTACTTAGTGTATCAGTAATGACAACTTGTGACATTTTACCATGATCTATAATAAATTTATCAAGTCCATGTTTTCAATATTAGAGGATTTAAATCCTTGTATATTACTTATAACTTGACAGAATAATAGCAATATTCTGCAATGCATGATTCAGTAGTTATACATTAAATGCGCACGCGTAGACGCATATGCTCATGCGTAAAGGTATTATGCGCATGCGTTAATGCAATGTGCGCTGACGCATGCGCAGAAAGTTTGTAGCTTTGAGGTCCGGATTATAGATCATTCCGGATTATGGACGTCCGGATTAAAGACTTTTGACCGTAATACAGAGATCACAAGATTTAATCAACTAAGAACCACATGAAATCATCAAAACCTTAAATATTTTGAAATTTTTGAGGCAGTTTTGAAAAGTTATAAAATATGTATTGAAATACCAAAAGAAATAATTTTTTTCAAGTTTTGTTTAATTTCATTTCTCGCTTCTAAATTAATAACTTCAAAATTCACTGCATAACCTGAACAGTGCATTTCGCTACCTAACATCACATATTTACAACTGAGCCTAAAAATCAAAGTTGAAATATATATACATATACGAAGAGACACTAAAAACTTGCATAAACAGTGAACTATGATCTTGTTCCAACAGATATATGAGGTATTTAATACACTAGACTGAAATACTTATCAGATGTTTTTACAAATTAATAATTGCAAATGTTTAAATGTCAAACATTGATATAATTTAAATAATAAATGCAAATCAAAATAACTCAGCTAAGAATAAATAGAAACATTAATATACTCATAACTGATGAAAGAAGTATATTAAATTAATATGATAAGTCATTAACATATGTTCTTTGTGGACTTAACTATCTGTAAACTAATATTAGAATTTACTGCTCGACTTCTGTTTTAGAGGTTACTTAGGAGAAGAGGATTTCCACTGAGCTCCAAGTGTGGTTAAATATTTAATGCTAATACAGTACAAAGTCTTTAATCCGGACTCGTCGGGACTTCGGCGATTCCGGATTAGGGGTTTTTCTGGATTATAGATCATCAATTTAAATCTGGAAAGATGGCATGCAGAAGTTATAAAATTAAAAATATGAAACAATTTATGAAATAAAGAGCAATTATGATCTAAAGGGTATCAAAATTTACAAAAAAAAAGCTTAATATTTATTTGTTTACTTTATTAAACATTTCTTTCAATGTAAGTTGTTTAAGTTGCTTCGTTTTATGTGCTAATACTTTCTCTTTAATTCTATAAACAGACATAATTTCTTGTTCAGTTACAAAATTCTGCTGTTCAGGTCCTGTAATTGCTGTGCCGAGAATACCGACTAACTTGTCAATCGAAATTTTTTTCTTTTCACTAACCTCTCTGTCACTTTCTTCATGCCTTTATCCATTTTTTGCAGCAATTCCACTTTTTGTTTGATGGACATCGAAACATGCTTTCACTTTGTAGATCCTTTGGCAGCTCCAGAATAGGAAACTGTTTTTGACATAATCGAAAGTTCAAGCTTATTTTTTATAAAATTGTTCTAAGTCTGTGAAAAATAATAAGCCAGATCCAATTAGAAGATTAAGGAACAATGCAATCTGCAACATTAACTGAAATAGATAATTAGATAATTTTAGCCTAGCTTATACTGTCCATTACACATTAAATGCGCATGCATAAATGTATTATGAGCATGAATAAAGGTACTATACACATGCGTAAACGCTACACATGTGCAGAAAGTTTGTAGCTTTGAGGTCCGGATTATAGATCATTCCGGATTATGGATGTCCGGATTAAAGACTTTGTACTGTATAATAATCATATTATTTTAAGTGTCTTCTTAATAATAACCAAATGTCTTCAATCATATTATTTCAAATGTATTTTCTTCTTAACATTGGCAGTCACACACATATTTTATGTCAAACAATTCATAAAAGGCATATAACCTGTTTTGAGAGAACACCATAATTATGAGCTGCTTTATCAGGTTCATTGACATAGAGAGTGAGAAAATTTGGTTGAGATGCTGGAGGAAGACTTAGCCATTCTGAAATCTGATCAACTCTAACTTCGTATGGTATTTTTCTAAAGAAATTAAGAGGTTATGTTAGTTATGCACTCAAACTTCCATAAATTAAAAATTTAGCATTATATATACATCAACCAGCAAAAACACAGAAAATCTCTACATTATGCAAATCAGTTTACTTACAACTCATGGATTATGTGTGCCAAGATCACTAATAATATATACAATACCTGAATCCAAATCTAACAATGTTTCTTTTCAAGGAAGGAAAATCACAGGATTTATCAGACTTGGAAAAATGCTAGACTATTCAGCCAAATCATCTTCGCAAGAGCATTTCAAGAACAGCAATAGTGGGTTCAACAGCAGTAATGATTTCAAAACAACAGTTTGCATTATGCAGTAGTTAATAGTTGCCTTGATGATCTAACACATGTGACACTTCAAGCCAATTACAAGGTATAGGATAGTTATGCTTTAGTGATGCCAAAAGCTGGCCTTTAGCAATAATGATAGGAGGGATACTGGGCATGATATTTTCTATAGCTCTAAACAACATATTGGAGATATCCAAACAATGTATCCTTCTTCAGTATAGTCACATCTTCTTTAACATGGGTCTCCTTTCTCGTACCAGCCATTCATAGCATAATTGTGCACCTATGTTCAGCCATTCATTGTCAAAAATCTTGCATTGCAAATACAAAAAAAAAAAAAAAAAAAAAAAAAAAAAAAAAAAACCACTCGGAGGATGCTTCAGTATTTAACTAAATTTGACTTTGAAAACTCAATACTTAAATAAACTCCATATACGTAATCATATGTGCTTTGATGTAATCAGGGAGATTTTATTGTACAAATAGTTATAAACAAAATCACCTCAACCACATAATCTATCAAAAGTGCCATAAATCTAGACCTATCTACCCCAAAGCCTGCTTCAAAATGAAATAAGAACTTAATCATGTATATACATCATTCTACTTCATTTAATACATTTGAATCACAATAAATATCAGGTGCTTTCTAAAAACATACTGAATTTTTTAGATGATTAAACTCTATTTAAACACTCTTGATATGCATTTCTCTTTCTTCTTGATAAAAATATGCTTTTGATTTGAATACAAGACAGACTTATAAAAAATTATTCCGAATTTTCAGATATGCTTTACATGAAAAATTAGGGGCTTCCATATGGGATGACTTCAGCATATGAACTTGATATGCTAAATATGTTGTACGAGAAAGCTAGTTAAACTGTCTAATAATTCCAGTAAACATGCTTTTGTACATTTTAAGGTAATTTTTTTTACTATCATCTACCTAAAAATGCATTAACCATGACATGCATGTCTCTTTTCTTTATTATTTCAATATGATAAAAATATGGATTTGTCTTGAATATAAGGCTCACAAAAGAATGTTCTGAATTTCTGGATATGCATTGAAAAAATACGGCTTCCACATGAAAAGATTTCAGTGTATGAACTTGCCGAGTGATGAATGTGCTGATATGCTGAATGTGTTCTACAGGAAAAAGGGTTAAATAGTCTAATATTTTCAGTAAACACATTTTCATACATTTTTAGGTAAACATTATTTCTTTTAATCTAAAATTCAAGTAAAAAATAAAATACAAGGCTGGCTATAAGCAGAGACAACATGGAAGCTATAGGCTGAGTCAATTTTTAAAACAACACAACCGACAACTCAGAAAAGAAAAATTTTGTCTTGAATTATTAATGTGTTTATTTCATACTTCATGCGAACTGCACTGAATGCCTTGTATACTGAAACTGTTATAACTTTTAAATGTTATATTGTGCATATAAGAAAAATGCAGCTTTCAGAAAGGCATTTTAAAGAAAAAATTTCACTTTACATTCCGATCAGTGTAGTAATCAAAAAAATTTATAAATGCAGTCAAACTTCCATAAGCCCAAACTAAAGGAAGCGGAGAAAAATAAATAAATAAAAAAGTGACTGAAATCTTCATTTAACAAAACAAACAAAAAAATCATTAATATTGAATTTTACGTTTCAATATTGTTTTCAATCAATTAGATTAATTTCAACCAATCAGAATCGATTTTGAAAATATAAAAATTATTCAGCTTACTAAATTTTGACTAAAATGTAATATGAATTATCAAAGTCCTGTTGTACATGAGTACAGGCAGAAGGGCACCAACATTTTAACTTTGGTTGTAAAGTTCCATTGCACTAATTAAGCAGCTTCCTCTTCCTTGATGAAGACCACTCTGGGGAACGAAGCCAGAAATTTTTCCCCTATCATTCCAGCCACTCCAAAGGAGTTCCAGCAGTTTAAGTGCCCCTATGCCACACAGACACACATCCCTGCTTTGTCCGGGATTCAGACTGTTGCCCAATGAAATAGCAGCCAGCATTGCTAACTACTATACTGATTAGGGTAGCTAATAGGACCCACAGAACAAAATTAAAAGTGTTCAACAACTAACATTGTAAATTTTAAATATAGCATAAAAATGACTAATTTATAAATTTTAATTCAGTAAAAAATATTAAAAATATTACAATCTTCAGCTTTCTTTATTAAGAGGCAATTACCATTACATTAAAATCATGCAAGCTACAATCTAAAGCTATAGCCTAGGTGTAGCTAAACTTCATTTCAGTAAGATCTGCATGTTGGAATTCAGGAATGTTTGAGCCACAACTATTACAATTTTCATATGTAATAAGCCATATGTCTATATTCATATCATTTTAAAAGAAGTGAAATAGATTTCAAATGGAAGGAAACACGCGATTCTAAACGTTCATTCTGTGACAGTTTGCCTTTAGCATGTGATAATACATCGAAAACAATATGAAGTTTTATGGTATCTTTGTTTTCATGAAGTTCATGAAACTTTGGATTCTTCTTAAATCTGTGCCAAAACAGCTGAAATAATTTTTTTTCGGGGGGGGGGGGGAGAGGAAGGTGGGCTATCTCAAAATTATCCCGTAATTTCTCTGCAAAATTATCTCGTAATTCCTCTCCTGTAACTCCTCTGTTCCATGGAAAGCAATATGTATACAATCAAAAGTCGTTAATCCGGACTCGTCGAGACTTCGGCGATTCCGGATTATAGATCATCAGTTTAAATCTGGTAAGATGGCATGCAGAAATTATAAAATTAAAAATATGAAACCGTAATTTATGAAATAAAGAACAATTATGATCTAAAAGGTATCAAAATTTACAAAAAAAAAAAGAAGCTTAATATTTATTTGTTTACTTTATTAAACATTTCTTTCAATGTAAGTTGTTTAAGTTGCTTAGTTTTATGTGATAATACTTTCTCTTTAATTCTATAAACAGACATAATTTCTTGTTCAGTTACAAAGTTCCGCTGTTCAATGGAATACATTGAGATGAAATACTACATTTAGTAAGGAATTACAAGCCAAATAAAATGAAAACATCTGCCCTGAAGATAAGGATAGTGCTGACAGATCAACTTCCAATTCACTGCGCGCCGCGGCTTCCCCCCCCCCCAGCCGCAGAGCAGCGTGAAATTGATAAACAGATTTCGGAATGTTTAGGTGATTTTTTGCAGCAATTCCACTTTTGTTTAATGGACTTCGAAACATACTTCCGCTTTGTAGATCCTTTAAATATTAGTAAATATATATCGGAAGTTCTATTTTACATAATCAAAAGTTCAAGCTTACTTTTACAAAATTGCTCTAACAGTCTGCAAAAAATAATAAGCCGGATCCAATTCGAAGATTAAGGAACAACGCAATCTGCAACATTAACTGAATTAGATAATTTTAGCTTAGCTTATACCATCCGTTATACATTAAACGCGCATGCGTAAACGTATATTGCGCATGCGCACACGCACATTCGCAGCCGTAAAGGTCTTACGCGCATGCGTCAATGTGACGCATGCGCAGAAAGTTTGTAGCTTTGAGGTCCTGATTATAGATCATTCCGGATTATGAGTGTCCGAATTAACGACTTTTGACTGTATCTGTTGTCCTCAAACAAATTTTATGGGTTTACAAAATTTTCTAAATGTAACATCATCCTCTAAGCTGTTGCTTATATCAGATTTATTAGAAATTCCCAAAACTTCAAATTCAGAGCTGTGGCTAGGTTTTTCAGCACCTGCGAACAACAGAAAATTCTGTGCCCCCTTCCGTTTTCCAAGGATGGAAAACAGTTCATTCTAAAATTCGTAACATCAATTTAGTGCTCCCTGGATGCTGCACCTGAAGATAGATTTCCCCCTTTACTCTCCTCAAGCAATGCCCTTGGTCCAACTGCCAAAAATTTCATATCAATTTGGATGTTGAATCAACTTCTAATTTTTTTCTAACTTGTATCAAATTCTGCATTATATTAAAAGTTTCTGATGCAATACATAATTTTCTGTTCCACTTACGTCTAGTTTTCTACAGTTACTTATGATTCAGAAATTTGGAAGACCTTTCCTGTAAAACATCCAAAAGCATCTGTCCATCTATTCATTAAGCACCCAAAAGCAAATCTAATTTTTAAAGATTTTCTTTACAAAACTGTTTCATAGAAGCAGTACGATATTTTTTATTATGTTTTTGAATAGCATTATAAAGTTTCTTAATTCACAAAAGATGAAATAAAATTATTATGTTTGGACATTAATCAGTTTACGCTTACAAATAACTTTGTAAAAAGAAATGAATGAATTAATTACTTTCTTTGGGCATGGAGTAGTTTTAATTTTCCATATCTCATACATATACTTTATTTGCATAGCAGGCTGCTCACATGCAAAAGCAGCATGCGACTCATAAACTTCTCTATGGCCACTCTTGCTGTAGCCAATAGATATTAGATACTAAAGCACTAATATATTCTTTAAAAATTGTGTCATTTCTAATTAGCTGTTCATTTATAGTTAAATAATGCATATAAGCAGTTTGTTTTAGTAAACAAACAAAACTGCAATAATATTCTTCAAGACATAATTTTACTCATGACAGCAAATTTTGATTTTCAAGTTAATTATTATCATAAAATGAAGATGATTTCATATTCATATTTAAAAATCGATCCTTTTAAAATATGAAATATATTTTTATGAATAAGTACATACCATTTAAAATATAGTTTGTGAAAAAGAAACAAATAAATTTGAAAATAATTTCATTAAAACTCTGAGACTTAGCACATGTGTAAAAAATATTCTTAAAAAAAATTAACGTATAATATTTAATGAAGAAATAATAAATAAAAAGTAATAAGAAATATTAAAATATTTTTAAATTATTAGGATAAAAAAGGAAAATTTATGCAAGCAAATACTTACGAATTGTACATTTTAAAGAAAGTAGGTGTAGTATTATAGATTTTTACATCCGAGCCTGGCCAAAAAAAACTTGCAGCTTTTTTACCTTGTTTTACAGCAGTTACCCATATCTATAAAAATTTCACATAATTATGAAAATAAAATAGAAAAGTAAAATTTTTAGCTTTTTATCAAAGAACAGGCCACTAACTAATTTAGTTTATCTTTGATATAGAACTATTAATACCATAGGTACACAGCCAGTAGTTGAAATAATACATTTGTGGCATTCTATTATAATTTCTAAATGAATATTAGAATGACATTAAAAAAAGTACTTAGCAAATTACGCTCCACTTTTATGAAACCTTTAGATTAAAAGTTAGACTTATATCAAAATGAATTACATTTCATTATGCAGACTAATTTTATGACAGATGTAATTCAATTCAAATAGCAGCATGACTTCAGAAATAAGAAATTTAAGAGTGCTACGTATATTACAGCAGAAATCTAAGCTGTGAAAAAAGTCATTTCACTAAATCAGCACATTGTTAAATATGGGATGAATTAAAAACAACAAAGTGAGCAATATCCGAAATGAGTATTTTCAATTTGATTTTTCGAAATGAGATTTTCCCTCATTTTTTAGAAGTGCAGTGTTTCTAAAATTCAAAGGGAAACTCTTTCCAGTAGTTGCCTATCAAAATTCCAAGATATTAAAATATCATCTACAGCTTAAAAAAAATTGATGTGTACACCGCATGACTTGCTTCTACTGCCCATTAAATTATACACATCGTCGCTGCATTTCATTTAAACTTATTTCCTGGAATTTCATTACGGATATATTTCTCATTCAATTAATTCAGTTCTCACTTTGCGGCAAGGCAATAATACATAAAATCATGAAACATCTTCATTAAAAATTGCAAAATACAGAAAAATATAAATCACATAATACAATTAAGAGCAGTGAAAAGAATAATTTTTACAATTAAAATTACGGTTTCTACCCCAAAACAAAGAATTCGGCTAGCGGACAAGAAGTAGATTTTTCGGTGCACAAAACTGAAAGATTACTTTTGGTCCCACTCGGCAAAAAGACACTCAAAGTGCAGAAACTGACTTAATTCACTGTTCTACCAAGAGATTCAAACATGAACAAATGGGTGCTTCATTAAGCATAGTATCACTTAAACAACTTTTAAATTGTTAATAAATCTACAGCTATTGCATGCAGATTAATTAAAGGCATAAAAACCTTAACCAAAACATAAGAACAACATAATTAAATCCTTTTTAAAGCAAACAATGCACAATTTACCAGCATAGAAGAACAAAAAAAAAAAAAACTGAGCTCACTGAGCCGGGTAACAGATTGCAGATACAGTCAAAAGTCGTTAATCCGGACTCGTCGGGACTTCGGCAATTCCGGATTATCGATTTTTCCGGATTATAGATCATCAGTTTAAATCTGGTAAGATGGCATGCAGAAATTACAAAATTAAAAATATGAAACCGTAATTTATGAAATAAAGAACAATTATGATCTAAAGGGTATCAAAATTTACAAAAGGAAAAAGCTTAATATGTATTTGTTTACTTTATTAAACATTTCCTTCAATGTAAGTTGTTTCGTTTCATGTGATAATACTTTCTCTTTAATTCTATTAAACAGACATAATTTCTTGTTTAGTTACAAAGTTCCGCTGTTCAAGTTCTATAATTGCTGTGTTGAGAATACCGACTAATTTGTCAATCGAAATGATGAAAACATTTTCGTGTTTTCATCATTTCGATGATGAAAACATTTTCGTTTTCAATAACCTCTGGGACACTTTCTTCACTATCGGAAGCGAATTATAATGACGAGGAACTTGATTTAAATCATATCAAAGACGGAGTACATCGAGATGAAATACTACACTTAGTACGGAATTATAAACCAAATAAAATAAAAACATCTGCCCTGAAGATAAGGATAGTGCTGACAGATCAACTTCCAATCCGTGGCGTGAAATTGATAAACAGATTTCGGATTTCAAAACATACTTTCACTTTGTAGATACAAATTACATATTAGTAAATATATATCGGAAATTCTATTTGACATAATCTTTCTAATCTATCATAATCTAATAATGACGTTTCTGCCCACCCCTCTGCCGCAGAGCAGCGTGAAATTGATAAACAGATTTCGGATTTCAAAACATACTTTCGCTTTGTAGTAAATATATCGGAAATTCTATTTTGACATAATCGAAAGCTCAAGCTTACTTTTATAAAATTGCTCTAACAGTCTGCAAAAAATAATAAGCCGGATCAATTCGAAGATTAAGTAACAACGCAATCTGCAACATTAACTGAATTAGATAACTTTAGCTTAGCGTATAAATCCGTTACACATTAAACGCGCATGCGCACAAACATATTCGCAGCCGTAAGGGTCTTACGCGCTCTCGTAAATGCCTGTGCGCATGCGTGAATGCGACGCATGCGCAGGAAGTTTGTGGCTTTGAGGTCCGGATTATAGATCATTCCGGATTATGGGTGTCCGAGTTAACGACTTTTGACTGTATATACTTTTGGCAACAAAAAAAGGAGACGCACATCTACATGTAACAGCAGTGCCATACACCAAAAATTGAATGTACGGAGGCCATACACCAAAAATTGAATGTACCAAAAATTGAATGTACGTTTCAGAGTAATGCCAGATACATACATACATATGTACGTACAGACGTCATGAAAAAAAATCTTTTCTAAATCAATTTAAAATACATTTAAAAAAAATTTTTTTTGGAGGGAAAGGGTTCTTTATTGTGTCCGTACATACAAATGTCACACAAAAACATCGCTCAAATAGGTTCGAAAGCGGTCAAAATGGATATTTTCGTTGGATGGATATTTCGTTGATACGCGAAATTTTTCACGATTATAATACTTCCTTTACTTCATACAAAGAAGTAAAAATAGTACTTGATAACCAGAAAGTGTACGTCCTTCCCCCCAAAAAAACATAAAATGACAAATCATGGACAACAAATTAAACCAATGACAAAAAAAAAAGCCTCGGTTGGCCTAGGAGACTCATTGCCTAAAACAGAAATAAGTTGTAAGACATTTAATGTTGCTCCTTGCAGTTATTTCCTAAAAAGAAATGAACAAACATAAAATTTGCGTTCTGAAAGAACTACAAAATGCATCGGGAATGGACGGCATAAAAATTAGTTTAGCAAATGATTAATGGTTTAGGTCTTAATGCCTGACTGATGTGTTTATATTAAATTTCTAGTGTCCATGGTGATGGTATCTCAAATTACGTGTTAATATATTTATTTTATAAAATGTAGTCATCAGTCAAAATAGTAACAGTTGGTAACGGGCATGTAATAATATGCATTTAAAATAAAATAATAGAGGAAATAACACTTTAAACTAATTATTACTCAACTATTTGTAAATATCACTTTAAATTATACATAATTGAGATCACACATATATTATGAATTAACTTGTGTAAGTTTTCTTTAAGGTATCTGCCTACGTTAAAAAAACGATTTCGGCGAAAAAATTCAATTTTTTTTAATTGCCCAATTTGAAAGTTCAGTTTTGTAGGATTCCGAAAATGGTTCATTTTTACGTTTTTGATAATTAGAAGAGAAGATATAGCCAATTAACTGCACTGGAAGTGAAAGCAGGAAGACCGGAAGTGCCATTTAAAAGGCTCAACTTAAAGGTAAACAATGTTGTTATTCGTGTTTTTTTTTTTTACCTGTTTGTGTGTAAAATTGGGCTAAAACATTTCATTTTAATTCTGGGTACTTTTTTTGTTTCTGGTAATAATTATTTGCCTTAATTTTTTTAACTAGGACTGGCAACATTGCGGTTTTTTGAACTGGGTCTGGCAACATTGCGATTAGGTATAAAGACTAAGGTTGGGTGCATATATAGCAGTTTTAGTTTTTAATTCAGGGTATCTTCGATTACTTCCTGTGTTTGAACATTTAGGCATATCAATTGAACAAGAAATGATTAAAAATTACTTTGGATTTGGTAACGAAAGAATAAAGAACTCGAAACGTCATTCATCGCTCATTTCAAAAATAGCCAGAAAAAATTAAAATCAAATAGGAAATCAAAATTACTTAAGTATAAAGATATGAAGGGTGTTATGTACAAATGTGGAGAATTTTAAGTGTGTAAATGCAACAGAACAGTTTTTCTGTTAATGTGAAATCTTTAAATGCGTTTTCTGGAAAACTAATTTTTCTAGTGTTTTACATACAAGAAATGTAATTACTCAAAATGTTCTAAAGGTATCTCTATTAAATTTTACTAAAGTGTTTTCTATATTATTTACTAGGTTTTAAGCTACAATCTAAGTTATATTTATTAATTTGATTGTTTTATAAGTATTTCTATATAAAACGATAAGAAATATTTTACAAAAAACTGCGTTTTTCATGTAATTACACATATTTTAGTAAATTTTAGAAATATCATAAACATTTTAGTTCATAACACAGTTGAGTGTTGTAGTAGTATACAGTATAAATAAAATTGAAATATATGCTGTGAGGAAAAATATACGACATTTAACGCAAGTGGTAAATTCTCCTAAAAATGTGCATAAAATTGCATATATTTCAAACATTTATGAAAATATTCCTAAAAATTTACCTATTTTCATGATTTGATATCATATTTTGACTAAATAAATATATATTTCATCAGAATTCTATGTTTTAAAAAAAAGTGCTCCGAACGTAGGCAGATACCTTAAAATGAAGCAGATATATTGCATAAATTTTATTGTTCACAAGCTCGTTCATTGACGCATTTCAGCTTTTGAGGGAAACTACAATATTGTCCACACACAAATAATTCATGGCTGTAAATTCCTAACAAGGTATTCAGCCCATAAAATAGAAGGATCTGATAAAATCTGGATAAAATTATTCTTCATGAACCAGAAGACTAAAATGGAGGCAATATTAGTGTAGCAGTGTATTTTAAGAGGCATTTGCCTCGAAGGCAACGAATACTTCTTGGTTCAATTACCAAACAGAAACGCAATAATCTTTATGTAGAACATCCAGCAGCACGTGCCTGAGGGATCACT